ATCAACCGAAATCGTTGTTTGGTATAATACAGCTTTATAAAATAGTTTATTCTTGCATTGTTATGAGGACTGAGCAATCAGAAGCATAATTTGCAACAATCTGGGAAAGCGCTTTATGGCAGGAAATCCAGTCAAGCTACACCTACTGAGTTTGCCATACCACGCCACTTTGGGACGACCTCTTTTTGAGCGTCCTTTGTTTATTAAACACACAGACATTCCCAAAACTAGACGAATGGCATCATATTAAGGAGCAAAATGTGCGCAAAACAGCGGACATGGGATGAAGGTGATAAGCTTAGCGTCGTTGGTCATGGAGTAAATGCGTTACAAAAGCAATCGTGGAGTGGTCGACGCTCTGATCATGTACATAGTGAAATAGGTGAGACTGTTTCTGGAACAGGAATTCAACGCTGTATCGACTTGTATTAAGCGTAACTGACGAAGGAGTTGAGGAATCAATTGTGAAGTTAGGTGAAGGAAAGAAACCTTGAGGAAATATACGAAGTAGCAGTCTCATGAAGTGGTGCATTTGGATAGGAACTGCAACACGATTAACTGTGAGAAGCCAGCAAATACCTTTTTTGAAGGTCCTTTTTGCCTTTTTTTCCTTGTTATGCTCTTACTATTATCTGTGCACGTATATGCAACTCAAATTCAGCAACCCTACAACAAAGATGCACTTCACGAAAAGATAAAAAAGGATCTTCGTCTACAATTTGGTGAGTTTAGTAATGGTCTCATCTGATGGAATATTATTTGTTTTTTGTTAGTAGATGAGAGGCACTTAAGAGCCAAAGTGGTCAAAGCTTAGTTCCCATTAGGCAACCAATAAACAGTCGACTGACCGAACAACTTGATTGGTGATTCAAGGGGAGTAGATTAATCTGATGAAATTTCGCAAGCTTTAATGCAAAAATTTTCATGAGCCGCTGTCTGTATTTTGAAAGCCTCGCAAATTTTGTGCATAACAAAATGAAGCATTATAAAGTTACTGAGAGTAACTTTTCATTCAAGCAAACAAAGTGTTAGTAATAAAACACCGAACTAGGAGTTTTCAGCACTTCTCTACAACGCAAAAGTATTCCAGCCCACCTACTCGTAAGGTGACTTGAGCTCTTTTAGCGTTTACAGTGATAGTCGAAATATCTGATATCGCACCAAATGAAAGTGATGACGTGCTCCAGCATTTTGAGTGGTGGTGAGCGTGCAAAAAGTATGACTTCGTTCAAAAGTAATGACTTTTAGCAGTTTTTTGTCACGCACGCTTTATTTGTAGAAGCATAGACTGGTGGCATTGGCAAGTGCCTCGCAGTTAAAACTCTATCATTTGGACGCCTTTCCATCCTTTCCTTTTTAGCTAACCTAAATAAGTTCCTTCTCATTAAATGATTCATGCGCGTGTGAAGTGCAAAATCAGGTAAACAAATTGTTGGCGCAGTTGTGTTGCTGGCATTTAAAGTGCGAAACGTAGATTGTAGTGCTTTGGTGTTGCTCATGTGAGATTTAGTCGCCTTATAAAATTCAGGTTTTCCGTAAAAGAGATAAAAACAAACACTTATTGAAAGATACAAAACTCTGGACAAATGTAAAAAAAACAATTTATTCTAGGGTTAAGCAGTATCTGATGTTTTCCCAAAGCTAGTACAAAGCAGCTGTTATTTTGAGCATTTATTTAATTTTTCATAATCATTGTTTAAGGACACCAGTGTGTTAAAAAGTGTTATGTGTTTCCCAGTTGCTTGACTTTCCTTAACTGGAACACAAAGACAATCACGCCGACAGCCATGGCAAGAATCATCCCACCAATTAGTATATAGAACACGCCCGATAGATTTATTAATGCTAGCGGTTCACTCGTCTGCTGTTCACCGCCCTCCATGCACTCTCCCTTCTCAATCCACCACTCCTTGTAGAGCTTTGCTAACTCTTGATTCTCTCTCAAACGCAGAATTGCATCAGTCACATGTTCCTTCAAGATGCGCATCTCCGGCTTATTGGATGGAAGTCCTACTGCATAGGCCTTGCTTCCAAAGGTAGTTCCCACCATCATAGTATCGCAAGGCTGCCGATGATTAATGTACTCTATCATCTTTGACTCTGCTACAAAGGCGTAAGGCTTTACTCGGACTCTCTCAAAGCCTGCTGCCAGCGTGGGAACATAGACTGATGGATCCCGTTCCATTCGCTTAAACACCGTCTTGTATAGACTATCTTCTGCATGTGCGAAAAAGTCTTTGGTAGCTCCTGAGTCCAACGTCCCGATTTGGATGGGCAGATCTTCCCGCTCTGCAAAATCTTTGATGGAATCAATAGGGGAAATTAGACGCTCCACGGACAGAGCTGCAGCAAGATTTGCCGTGTAATATGCCATCACTACAAGACACACGTATCTCCATATACTGGCAAATACTCGAGCTCCTGGAGAGACTGGAAATATGTCAATTCCTTGGTGAACGAATGAGGCCACAGAAAACCAAATACAGTTGCCAAAATCAAAACCCAATTCAGGGTTAGCTGGAGCTCGTTCCTTGGGTGAAATTGCAGCGATGAGGCGCAGCCCTAAACTCACTATTATTGTGGCTCCAGCTATTCTCAGCCATACAGCGTTTGTCAATGGAGAGAGGAAGCTAAACATACCAGGTTTTGTTTTACCTGGCTTACGGATAATTAGAGCGAGTCCGAAGTTCATGAAAGGCTCCGAAAAGTCGATGAATTTAGCACGAATGGTATTCATAGTCAGTGGGGCAATAATTAAGTCGGCTTCATCACGAAGTACCTCTCCCACCATACCGTTCCACTCACCGGTAGCCGGATCAATGGTTCCGAATTTGCCATCCTTCACCAGATGAATTTCATAGTTGAGGTTGAGATGATAGAATATGTGATCGGCCAGGTCCTTGCAGTATCCTACAAAATTGTCTCTTCCAGAGGTAGCTCCAGTAACTTCAGGATTTGCAAACATTATGAAGGGCTTCGATAGAACCGTGACAACCCGAAGCGTTTTATTCCTTAGGCGGTAGACATCCAGCAAATTGTTATAATCAAGAGGCTCAAGAATCTTTTCCTTCAATCCAGAAAAGGTGATTTGATGAAAGAAGCCAAGATGAGTAGAGAGGGAAGGCAAGACCCATCCGGAATGACGACTCCACTTGGCAATTATACGATCTCTCTTCTCTCCAAAAGCGGAAGAGAGAAGTAAGTTGTAATTAGTTCTTTGACAGGTTCTTTCGTCGAATCGAATGAGACCAGTTTGACCGACTATCTCGGTTGATGTCAACCACGATTTCACACGACCTCCCAGCTGCCACTGTTGAATCAATGATGCACTCACTAAAGTGCCGGATAGAGTAAAACACTTGGATTTTAAATTTGGATCCCATGACTTCCAAAGGCCATTCTCTGTGGCTTTTTTTAGACTCCAGCCCACTTCAAGAGCATCCATGATGGAAGCGATGCTATGAAGAGGTAGCTGGACGCCCTTCCAATCCTCGGCAAATTTCAGAACTACCTCATCTTGGTAATCTAAAAAGTGAAACCCCGTAAAGTTGACTCCACTTCTTAGAAACTCATCCAATGAGAGTTCATATATGTCAAAATCAACTAAAAGGTAGTTGTATTCCGACCGCATCATTCCCATCCGTCGAAACCAGGTCACAAGTGCCTCTAAACGCTTCCTGCCAGACAATGATTGATTTGTTTTTGGCTTTCCTAGGTCAATTACTACGTTTCGCTCAGTTTTCGTAGACAAATAAGCATCAACAGACTTCAATGTTGTGTGCATAACCTCTTCGTCATCAACATCTACGTATCCACTTATGATAGGAGGAAGAACGCGACGATTAGCTTTTTCTTGAAAATTTCGGGGAGAAGTACCACAAGAACCTCGGCCCAAAAGAACTTCTGCATCCGATATTTTCTGACTGATAAATTGAAGGCGCTGGAAAGCATCCATGGAGCCATAGAGATAGGCAAAACTCTTCCAATTCCAGGTGATAAGAAAGTCCATTAACGGTTGAGTAATATCCGGACGTACTGAAAACAAACGACATCTACTATCCTCCGCGTCAAATGGAGGTTTAAAAACGGAGGGAATTTCATCCCAAGTGATGTAAGGAAAATCGAAGGTAGAGGTGAGGGATTGAAAAAGGGATGTTACGCGATGCGGAAGGCTACCAATCAAAGCGGCTCGTTCGACAGCTAAAGCACGGCAAAATGCCGAGAGGACAGTGTAGCCTCGGTCCTCGTGAATGCCTTGAATAGCAGGCGTTTCACCTTGTAGCATAGCTAATCTACGGATAATTCCCAGAAGTTGTGCTCTTGAACCATTTGCGTTGGTACCGAATGGAGTGTCCAGAATGACGGTAACGCCGCGACTGTTGTTAACACTGACAGTGAAAGGAAAGAGGAAGGCTAATCCTATCAACAAGATGAGCGGGCTGGTAGGAACGGACATTTTGAGATCTGCGCTCAAAAAGCGACTCACAACGATGACGACGACTTGGTCGCTCGCACATGCGCACCTTACGTGAGGTGCTGATTGGCTGGTAGATGGAGTGGCTAAGAGCATCGACCGTAGATAAATGGTTTGCAGGACTGCGGTTTCATAAATTAAGTTTTAGCTGAAAACGAAACCAAAACTAGTGCTACTGTCACCCCAATTCATGCTGTATTATGACCTCTCAATAGCCTTGAGAAAAAGCATGTGTATGTGATAGAAGAAATAGCAGAATAGTGTGTGAATGACTGCTGGTTTTCTATTTTGCATGTATCAACCAAGATCAGAGCTTCAGCCAGACCAGTATCTGTCCATTCTCCACCGAGGTAAACGAAACTGCGAGCTAAGCGCTTTAAGCCAAATGCGAGACCATTTCTCACCATCAAACGGTCGCAACGATGCCAAAAGCTAAATTCTCATCGTTAAGATGACAAGAATTCATATCAGGGAAGGCGAATTATCAATTTCCTTGAGAACCACTAATAAAGTTAGGCCTTGACAAAAATGAGTGATTCATGACCAAGTCAATTGAATGTCCGCGTTTAAAAAGATCAGGGATTCGTTTACCAGTCCCCAGCTCTATAGCATGGGGGTACGTAGGAAAGTCGGGAGTGTGCTTTTTTATGTAATAATGAGTATGAGACTAAGGTATCACGAATTAAGAGTGATTATGGTCCATTTCTTCATTGTAGTTAAATAGGATCTGATCTGGAAGAAATATTCTCATTTTCTGACCACATTCAAACAAGTATGCATTGCAGCGCGTCCAACCGTCCACATTTTTGCCTTAAAACCTTGACATTTATAATAAAAACTAATGCTGATGTAGGTTTCCCATCACATTCCTTTCGTCTTTTATGCTTAATTACTTGGCAATCCACTATCCAGTCAGAGCGTATGAAAAACAGAGGGAATCTTTACTGTACTCAAAAGTACGCGCCTGTGGTTAGAGTTCAAAAGGACATTTTATTTGGGCGCTCCTAAAGCCATTACCATTCTTTGAACACACATAATTAAATTCACCCCTTACTACGTGTTCCACCCATTGCAAGGTAGATGTGCATGAACCAAGGCTGGACTGACTTGGATGGGCTCGAGATTCTAGCTCGGCTAAGGTGGATGAGAATGTTTCGATGCTGACGGTCCATTCGATGATGAGTAGTGGTAAGTATGAATAGTAGGAGGTGTTGGCATGTGATGTGGACCGTTGTAAACACAGAGGTGGATCGAGTTCCACTTTTTTGCAGTATTTGATTCGTTTCGAAGTCGTAGTGAGCATCAGGACGCTTAAGGCCAGAGGTGATTACAGAAGGAAATGTTCAAGAACTAGTTGAAAGAAGGCGATACTCACAAAATTAAAACTGTTAGTAGATATTCTCGGCTGTTTTAAGGTAGTTCATTTGATCGGAGATGGCTTCAGTGAAGATGAGTAGTTAAAGGAAGTCTCGATCATGTACCTACGCTAGTGTCATTTAAATAATTTAGGCATCATAGGAGGTCAAACGGTAATAACCTCAGCGTAAATTGACAAAACAGTCTAAACAACGTACAAGCTTGTGAAAATCGTAAACAGATGGAAGAGTTAGTCATACAATTTGGTCTCTTCGGGGCATAGACGGCACTGAAGCGTGTTGCATGTTCAAAAGCCGCACAGATTGCAGTGTGTAGTGCTTTTTATTATAATATTGCATAGAAAATCTAGTCACATTTTTATAGATGAAGTATTTTGAGTCCAAAGACTTTCCAGATTTTTGTGACAACAATGGTCGGTAACTCTGCCTTTTGCTCAAGTAGTCAATGCGGTTGAGTCGAGATTCATTTCCCATGATGAAGTGTATAATTCTACATGCCGCGTTGGTTGCATCGGTCACATCTCAATCAGCCAAATGGCGTGTTGATTAACGTGCAGGGGATTGGATTACGCCCCAAGATCCATAACGGGTGCCGCTCCAAATTTCACTGGGACAGGGGGCTGTAGACATAGGTAAAAACAATTTTCGGTGGCTAAGGAGTTAACTCGATCACGCTAAAAAGGCGACTAAAACATTGATAATGTAGAGCTCCCATTAGTCTTCATTGCTTTCCTTCTCCATTCCGTTTTTTGACTAATTAACCCTCAGACGAAACAAAGATACTTTAAGTGTTTCAAGTCAAGAGCAGTTTACTGGTTACATTAAAGGCAGAAAATACCGAATTTTGCGAATGTGCTGGAGTAAGTAGGTGAGAACATGGTAAATGTTGCAAGTAATTCAAGACTGCTCTCTACCAAACAACAATTATCCATATTCTTCTATATAGGAGCCTTTGTTCGTAAAACAATGCTTTCAGTTTCTTCAAATTTAATTCCACCTTATTCGTTTTCGCCCATAGTATAGGTCATGAAAAGCTGAAAACAATAATCAAAATGCCGAGTGAACTTCTTTTAAGCTCCACATATTCTCCCATACGTGACCGACGCATTTGCGACATTAAAGCCAACCAATTACAGCTTATTCTCTCGTTTATCTTGAGCTACTCTACCACTTCCATCAGTGGAGCGTCTCCACGTCAATTTTGAGGGTTCATTCGATCGTACCAACTCAGAAGGCTCATTATCATAGAACTGGTCATCTTCAAGGCAGTTACGAATGGATGTGACTATAAGCGCAAACGGGATGTCTATTCGCAGTTCATGTATGTAATGAGTAGATACCTCTTAAATGGGAAATCTTCATACCATGATTGCATTTTATTGTCCTGTAATGATACACGATAGAGTACTTGCGCGCATGAAGTAAGCAGAAGTAATATGTGAAAAAGTGCAAGTAGTTTTGGTTGCAGGATGGACTTCGACTGTGTACAATGCTAAAATGTCCTTCAATCGAAATACATCAACGTTGATGGTCTTGGTGCGTGGGCGTGAGCTAGTGTTAGGTGACTCACGAACCTATCGAAGACGGAGAATTTTTCGAAGTCGAGAGGGACAGACGGAAAGAGAAAGTCATTGTTGACGCGAGAAACATTGAGCAAATGCAAGGTTAATTTCTTTTGTAGTAGCCGTGTGCGTTTTGAAAGACACGAAGTGCGAAAGAAGGTAAGAAAGGCTAAAACAATCACGGCAGAGAATTTAAAAAGCGGTTGCGATAGGTGGAAGACAAATCACGAAATGTGGGCGAATGACGATTCACACCGTTGAAAGGGGATCGATCTCGTCAGGGTAAAGTGGAACAACACCATAGAGGTTCTCTGAGGGTCTGAAGGCACGCAGATACTTGGAGGGAATTGTATTTGCGGCAAGTTGTTTAACCACCTCTGGCCGTAGACTGAACCAATCATTTTCAAGCCAAAAGTCAAGAGACCCACGACTCCTAAAGTGAAATATAGGAGTTCAAAATGACCTTGATACCAACTATCACTTTAAGCTCTAAGTTTTCACACAAATCCCACTTCCCAGGATAAACTTTCGCACCACCAATTTGCATCAGGCTGCTTAAAAGGCCAAATTTACTACAATAACTTACATGGGCTCTAATTGCAGAGCATTGTAGACAAATCTCCGACCCCACCTAGAGAGGTGCTTAATAGCCTTTAGGTTGACCACTGGTCGGTCAAGATTACGGTAGCCACCGGGTAGTGTCACCGTGGATGACTTCTTTCGTAGTCGTCCTGATGCCTCCCCACCAATTGCTTTCTCACTTGTAGGAGTAGGCGTTCGGGAGGTCTGGCGGTCTGTTAGGGATGTAGAGATACTCTCGGCCAGGAGGCTGGGAGTAAATGATGAAAGATGTGAGTAAAGGAATAAGTTTTTAACTCTGAATGGGATCTGAAAGTTGTGTACACTGCCAAAACCAGAAATGAAATTTAGTCGTTGCCTTTTCAACAAAAAATCAGATATACACTGACATGAATATTTTTCTATGGTTAAGCAGGAAGATGAAAATGCATACTGCAAGGAAGGGAAGTCTCATTCAACAGGCCATCTACCTCTTTATGTTTTCAATAAACTTTCCTTGCTAACTTTCCACCTATATTTAATCGAATAAATAAATGTTGGTAGCAATGCCTTAATCTTCATCAAGAAATTCGTTAAAAAGAACGTAAGTTATGGCCTAAAACACTGAAAACATTAACGTCGTGTGATGGTAGTGCCTCGAGGGTGTGGGGAGTAGAGAGAAGTCCTTAAGGCGTTTCTTGGGCAGAATCAGATACAACCGTCTTCATCACAAGCCAATCAGAAGGCAGTCTTTTCCTCCGGCATGTTTTTTGGGATGAAAAGGAAGGGCATAAATTTACAGTCCGCCAACTAGTTGGTGAGTACAAATGAGATTCGTATGTTTAATTTGCATCTCCGTTTCCTCAGAGTTGATGCAGACATAAACAAAATTTTCGTCCATTTATACCGAATGGCGTTGATAGTTGACCGTAACCTTCAAGTCTTCACGAAAAAGTAAAAATATGAGGTAAAGATAAAACCAGTGATTAGTTTTTAAAATCACCTACGTAAGGTACATTCGAGTAATACACATCCTTCAAAACTAATTAAAAAAGTCATTTAAAATTTCTTGCGGCTAAGAAACAAGTCAAGCGGAACTTATTAAGGAGCCCTCCATTTAATCCACTTTTCGTGTCAGGGGATGTAAGCAATCCTATCCATTATGTATGCACTTATGAATATCAGGAAATCATTGTTATAAGCCGTATCAGAGATTCCATAAAATTTCCCTCCGGACAGCGAACTTATTTATCCGTTGGTATATAAGAGTTAGTAACTTACAGAATGTAGGCAAAAGCACCCACACTGTAAAGATCAGACAGAGCATTGCATTTCCCACCGTCGACTAATTCAGGCGCTGAAAAATGAAAGCAAAATATAAGCCCCAAAGTTTATTCTCCGAATAGTCTTAGGAATAAAGTTAAAGTGTACAACAGCTGCTGCTACCTTATGTGTCTCTTCTGTGACCTTGGTTCCTCTAAACCCAATAAGGATTTTGGCAACTGAATCACAGAATGGGACCAATAAGTTGTACTATTGTGGTTAATCAGCTCTCCCGACTCTATGCTCAAATGATTACCAGTAAAACAGTCGACTCGTTTCTCCCAAGGTTCTATAGGTTCCACTCCAGTCAAAACAATATCGGGTAATGTCGAGGTGCGTCTGGCCGCCTGGACCCTGTCGAAGTCCACTCTCCCATGCAGACGTCCATGGAAGGCTGTATGGAGCCATCGGAGTGCACCGAGCAGTTGATTGACCCACCGCGCTACACTGAATTCCGTAAACTCTCCACGTGCTAACAAGACATCTAGCAACGCCCCTCCTGGTATCCAATATGAGACTGATATTCCCGCCGTTGGCTTGGCGGCATCGTTAGCTAGCCACCCGAGGCAAAGACCTTGTGGCAGGAGGCTGGGCAATCGAATTCCGAATTGCTGGGTGAAGAGGGGAGCCCCTTCCAGTCCGCTACAAGCAGTAATTGTTGCTGCAGAACGAAGCAGGGTGAGGAGGAGAGCTTGTTGTCGTGCTTGGGACTCCAGTGATTCTGCAGATGATGATTCGCTAAGGCGCGTAATGCGGGCAACAAGAAAAGCAGGTAGCCGAAGCAGCTGCTTTTCTGGTCGCTGATTTGGCAAATCACCGCGTTCCACAAGAGCTGGGTGGCATCGAATGAGCGCCAGTAGATGACTACTCTCTCCAAAATTGCCTCTGATTATGCAAGAGGAAATAGGACGGTGACCTTAGTTTCTCAATAAATAGTGTGGATTTCCAAGGAATAACTTACCTCGAAATGAGACCCTCTGTTCGACAAAGCATCTTAACGGCTTCCAGATGTGGGAAGAGACCACAAGCCTGGATCATTTCCTTGACAACTCCAGAAGGTGGTGGTCTTTTGAAAGCCTCATGCTCGATACCTTTGGAATTCGATGACGCGGTTGTCGACATAGCCTCAGGGTGATCGCTAAGGCCGAACGGATGAGCGGCTTGTCGCCATCGTAAGATCCATTCTCGTTCCTCTTCTATCAGCGGTACTGTCGTCGCGTAACCTGCGAAGGGAAAGTTATGGCACTCAAAAGCAGAGTGAACTGCCAATCTTAAATGCTTATTCTTCACAACCTCATGTAACTCCCAGTTGTCCTCAGCATTCAGATCCGTCTTAACGCCTATACTTATTTTAACATCAACCCACATACATGGTAATACCTTTGAGAATGAAGCAAATGACAAAAAGGTGGTAGCGTCAGTAAAAACGCCTAAAACATCCCATAATTTGGTTCTTCAGTACTGGAATTAAGGCTTCTCAATTTGATAAGGGCCTCACGGCATGTGAGTCAGTAAGGGGCCAATTTTAGGTTTAACACCTTATTAAGATATAGATCAATGAATAAACTAAGATGAACTATAGTGATGTGCCTGATATTGAAACGATAATAGCAACTGGTAAACCGCAACAGGAGTTTAACAACCCTCCATGTTACAAGATTCCAACAATACTCTAAACGTATCAGAAAGCGGTGCAAGAGGGGCGATAAATCAGAAAAGCGCTGTATATTTTGTCAAGTTAAATAAGCTTTTCTGAAAACTTATCGTTGAAAAGCGATCAACCCCGACATGTGACATGATCACGAGGTTAATTCTGTGCTCCTTAAGTCTTTAATGAAGTAGCCGCTTTGTCCGGTTAATAAACTGTAATAAGTTCAGAAATGATAGGGATAGTTGGCGAGAAAAGGTGCAACAAAGAAACAACTTCGTCCGACTCTGTGAAAATTTAAAAGCAAGGGAAAGCAATATATAGACGGAACTTCAGCAATACTTCAAATAAAACTGTAAAACTGAAACAAAGGAGTAAGGTACCCAACGTGAATGAAGGCTACAGTAAACCACAAAAACTGTGAGAACACGATGGGGAAGGGACATTGGGAATTGAAATGAGAAAAAAGTGAAATTAGAGTGTTTTAATCCAACTGACTCAGATGATCACATGTAAGAAATGATGGTTTCTATCTCGAAGATGAAAAGGAATGCCCAACTTACCAGAGTGAAGCCGGAACTCGGAAGAAGCGATACTGTAGGCACTCCAACCAATGGCATTACGGACACACACACGCACGCGATAAGCCTGTTCTGGTTCCAGGCCGGAAATAAGAAAACGGCGGTCCACAGAGTAACCGACTGTCCTCCACGCTGAGGCAACCGGTTTGGCGTCTAATTGGAATAAGAGAACTAGCCTGATTTTGGATTAAAATCTTTGAGCTAATAACTATTTAGGCAATCACTAAAATTGGACAAAAACGATTTTTTACCCGTACGTTAACTGCGAGGGTTCCTCTGCCATTGCAGTTTCTGCCACAGCCATAGTTTCATGGTTTTAGGCCTCCAGCATTTGGGCAAAAAGAATTTTTCGACTAGTTACGTATAGTTGCGTTATTAATAGTAGTGCCAAAGTCTGCACTAAGAAAATGTTCCAAACTGCCAAATCACCACCTTAAATCACGTACTAACTTCAATAGCAAAAACTGTTCCGTTCTGCGACCTTAGAAGTGTAGATTAAATAACACACCTCAAGGTTACTACTTTAGTGAAAAGGATAAAACTGGAAAATTTGACCATTGTGGAATGCCTACCGGGGTACTTGACATCCACGCGATAGATAAAGTCCTCACAGCTGTCATCATTTCCGCAAGTCCAGCCAACAAGGACTTCAGTGGAAGCTGACTGTAGGATGCCTGGACGACCAGGAGGTGATGGCGGTTCTGTAAAGTGGAGTTAGAAAGAACAAAATGACGATCAGGAGAGAAATGACATATGTTAACAAAAAGTTAGGCACAGTTACAAAGTGCAGAGGAAATCTCAGCAAAAAGCCTAAACTTAGCATATGATTAATGAGAATTTCTACTGAACAGGTTAAGAAGTGAAGATTTTAGATAATAAGGCGCTCTTAATACGTTGAAGGTATCACGCGTGACAATCCGCCAAGATCCTTTTCACACATCTGACACTACAATCAATCAGTGTCTTGTAGAAAACCTGCTTTCAAACAGACCACCAGATCCTTCAACGGCACTAATTTCAATTTCTAAGGCATAACCCATCGCAATGCCAAAAAATATTAATGCGCGACTAATTGCAACTATTTGCCTAGCCCTTGCAATGCAGTGAAGATAGTAGCATTCCTCAAGTCACGATAGCTTAATTGTAAAAAACGTATGGTGTTGTGGAAAGTGCTGAACAACTAGCTCTATCAAGTCACTCACCAGGTAGTAGTATTCTTGCCCTTGTCTTCGCCTTTCCGTGTCTAGCTCGCACCACACACTCCACCACTTTTCCTGCCATACCACGCTCCGCATCATTAAGACGCAGCCAAAGCCAACCATCAGGACTAGCGCCCAACGAGACACCGGGTGCTTCTGATAGAAGGCAGCCCCCAAGATACCACGCTGCTGCCACACTGCCGCTGGAACCGCTACCAACGCCACTGCTACTGGTACCACTTCCACCAAGAGCGAAGTTTTCCATTCCGAGGATTTCAAGATGCTTGCGCACATCACTGCGTTGATAGAGAATTTCAGGAGCCAGGAGCCGTGGAGGACTAGCCAGTTGACAGGAGAAGAAAACGCTGTTGGTTTGTGGATCAATCCGACTGTCACGCAGCGGATTGGAGAATACTGGAGCTACATCATCATTAAAAGGAAGTGAACAGGTTGCCAGTGAAAAAAAAGCAGATTTAGAAATCGCTGTCATTAAACCAACTGACTCAGAAGCTGGTTCAGAGCGTACCCAGTTTGTTGGTGGACTTCAGAGGACCCTCACAGTGACGTGGTTCTACAGGGAGGATTTGCTCGTCGCGTCCTTTAGAAATATCATCACAGAGGCGTTTGACGGGCTCGGACGAGTCATCGGCCGAGAAGAGGCTTGGGCTGCGTGTTCCATCGCTACCACGCCAAGGTTCAAGACGTGGTGAGGGTGACCCTAGCGGTGATTGGTTCATTTGGCTGGAGTAGACGAAAAACATACTTTTGAAGCATAAGGTTCTGCGATCTATCCAGTCTTCGGTACTGTTTAAGCGCTATTGTTATTGCCCAATCATAGATAAGGATTTGAATAGCTGCTCTGAAGTGGTGGAATGGAAGACAACAGAAACTCTCATTCAAGTAGAGCAGATGCACTTGCAAATTTTAAAAGACATGATTTTCATTTATTTAAAAATTTTTTATGACCAGTGATCAAGAGCGTTTCACAAGATCGTTTGTTAGCACAAATGGGAATAACAATTTATTTAGCCAAATAGATTTGTGGTCTTACTATTCATCGACGTCCAGGTGGAGCATCGAGGACCTCAGTGAAGAAGTGCCCGACCCAGTGCAGCCAAATCGCTCCTCCGGTGGAACCATTAATGTTGCGATTCGACTTGTTAAATCTCGGTCAATGCTGCATCCTCGTCCAGAAGAGCCACCATCACTGGAAGACATCCTTGGAGGTTGCATAGAATCCTCCCGCGCCTCTAACGACATCGGCGATTCTGACGGTCGAGCTGGCGTCGCTTCGATGCACGCCCGTCCAGCAAAGCGTAAGAAACTCTCCTTGCGCAGATTCCCCGTTGGGATTGTTTTCTAAATTTATGCATCGCATTGAAGCTCACTGTTTAATTTGCAATTCCCAGGTCATTGAAGTAAGTTACCCTTTTTTGATAGATGCGCTGGTAGGTTTTGAGATTGCTGAGACTGTTCTCCAAATTACGAGCACTTCGACTACCTTCAGCAAGCCAAGGATGTTGTAAGCACTCCTTGGCTGTGGGTCGATTTCTGAAATTTGGTGAAACTAAGCAATTAAACAATGGTGAATAAGGAAAATCAACGGAAGAGGCATTTTACCGGGGTTCAGCATCGAGCAAATAACGGAGGAAATCAATCGCCTCCAATGAAACGTCCTGTTCGTATGAATCAATTGACGCATTCGTCAAATCTGCTAGTCCATCCTCTATTGAATTAACATCGTCCACTTTTAACGTCTCATCTGCATTGCGAATAACTGGATGCTCCCCAAAGAGTCTAGTCAAAAGAAGAAAATTTCAATCCCTCTGCCTTCATGTTTGGAGAATAGAAAGAAGACGAGAACTCACAGGAGGTAAGCAATGATTCCAACACTCCAGACATCAGCAGCAAAACCGACGCACATTTGTGAGTTATCCTCTATGCCTGGAGCGGTGGTGATGCTAAGAAGCTCCGGAGCAGCAAAATCAGGACACCAGAGTGGAGGAGGCATGATGCTTGCCATTTGAAGGGTAGTACGTTGGCCTACAGGTTGAGCCATTGAAAATCCGGTGAGTTTAACAAAGCATGAGATGACACCGAGATCACTGCGACCACCAGCGCCCGCAGTGTCGACGGAAAGACTACTGAGCGCTTGCATTAATCCTTCCAGGCCAGCAGTACGTGAAGAGGTGCCTCGCGGAAAGATTATGTTGTCCGGCTATGGTAATAAAACTTGATTTAAAGTTGCATTTTACCTAGTAAATCAGGAACACCGTCTTTGCATTATTGTAGTCACAATTTTGACTAAAAAGTCTGAAATGAAGATAAGTCATCGTGGCTAAAATGTACTGGGGCCTCTTCCTATGGAATTATTCTTAAAGCTACTAGCCAGAAATTGTGATAGTTTACGTAATGTTGGAACGGTGGTTAAAGAGTTCTTCTGAAGGTAATGATATATGAAACCTACCTGAATGTCGAGGTGGACGATACCTTCCTCATGAACATGTGCCACTGCTTCTAGTATTTCTTTGATGAGCATCGCAGCGGCTGCCTCCGTCCATGTATGTCCCAAGACAACCTCTTCCAGCAGATGATTTCCGGAGAGTCTTTTGAGGGCAAACACTTAGGATAAATGCTGTAAATTTTTGGAAATTTTTTTCAAAATATTCTCTTTCCACCTATACCAAATGAGATTCTCTTTCCAGATATAGGATGACATCGTTTGAACCTAGTGTCAAGCAAACTATCATAAAATTTTCGAAGAATCGTTCAAATCAAAGTCGAAAAATATCAATCTACCTCTCGGTGATTAGAAAGAGATAATCGTCGCTGACCACAGCGTCAATCATCTCTACGATATTGTTGTGATGCAGTCGATTGAGACATTCAAATTCTCGCGCGCCCAGCACTCGGGTCATAGGGTCGGCCAGCGCATAGACCTTGCCCACGTACTCCCGACTTGTTTTCTTATCAATCAACAGGTGAGCACGACTGAAAGAACCTCTGAAAGTGAGTAATTAAAAGCGCACCTTAGAGATTTTCGGGTTCTGCCTAGCATTATTCTCAGAATCTGCTTTGCAAGAATTAAAATGTTTTACTCCGAAAGAATTCACAAATTATTTAAATTTTTAGATCCGTAAGAAAAATCTAGGGCAGCGCACGGTTGTGCCATGTCTGATATGCTGGATACAGAAGGTGCGCATGGGCGGACACCTAACAAAAAGTTTTTTCCCATCGTTTCCAAACAAAAAGTTGACTTAGGACTGTTTTTATTTCCTTCATTCTTTTAGAATGCTTAGGCATAAGGGACTTGTCAAAAACGTTTTGAATTTCATTTAGCTAGACAGTGATGAGATCGCAAAATGAAGCAGCTTAAAATATAATTTGAAATATTTAACCTTTTTTATTATAAATCTGGCGCCACATAAACTCACGTAGCTATTTGATGAAGAACAAAGTAGTGCTTTTCTATATTTGACCATCGTGGAGTAATCGTCCGTGGAGACAGTTTTTCTGGAAAAGAAATGAGTTGATCAAAGAAGTTCATTACAAACAATCTCAATGCAGAGGCGACCTCATTAGATGCTGTCAATGGGGAAGGTTTTGGGTGCTTAAAGAGAGGAATTTGTAAAAACGGTATGGGGAAAATCGAGCATAACAATTCAAACGTGACGTCAACAGATGCGCCATCAAAAAGCACATTTTCCACCTCGGTGATATCAGGGTGGGAAGAAAAGGGGAGAATCATTTCATTGCGGCACCAGTGAGCGAAATATCAAAAAGTTCTACCAGACTTAAGGACATCTATTTCCTTCCAAGCTTTTCTTCTCTTGTCCAATGAGGGCTAAAGTAACAAGCTAATTTTTTGGCCGGTTTATATTTTAACTTGCGTATTCTCACTGTTTTTATTAGACTAGACTATTCCAACCGTTGAAAAATGAAGTGTACAGAATCTAGACATCCTCATATTGACCTCAGCTTACTTTGAATATCAAGTAGCTGGCAGTAAACCTCTTAAATGATTCCATAGCCCCTAGTCGAAACACCAACGGCTATTCAAAGTAAGAACTCAACCTTCAGATCAATCACTGATTTGAAAGCGCAAATAATACAAGAACTACAGAGTTCTGGAAAGGTAAGGCGCGTAATCATTATCGACAACTTGTACCTAGTGGTAATCTTAACACTTCTTACCCTCGATTCTCACAATACAGCTAGTCTGAGCTCTTCCTGCTGGATTCTCTGCAATCATTGTGTAGAGACCTGCATCTTGGAATACGCATCTCTCCACTCGCAAGGAAGCATCAACGGTTAACTCGTTGAGTTCAGGCTCTTCATTGTTCGCAAACCAATCCAGCTGAGCCGCAGACCTCGATTCTCCGCCAATCCACGTGCGATGTGAGGAAGTAAGGCGCTTGGAGTCACGGGTCCATGTAATTCTGGGCGGTGGCACAGCATCAACACAGCAGGGTAGTAGAAGGGTATGGTGTACAGGTAGTGTTATGATTGGTAGGGGAACCTCGGTGATCACTGGTGCGTCTAAGAGTAGGAAGGTAAGGAGTCAGCTTATAGTTGACTTAATTTTCAACAACGTGCACGGATGCAGTAGGAAAAGATATTTTAGGAGACTTGTGAGTGATCGTAGGTTTCAACCGAATGAGAGTTTCACATGGAAGTTCGAAAATCTTTGATGGATTTAAAATTGCAAAATAATGTAGAATCCTAAAAGTTACCATGCTAAGTTCCTCAAACATGCAGAAAGACAAAAAACAAGCTCTGAACTCCAGGAGAGAAATTTTAACCTGCTATTTATTTAAGCTAGATTAAGATAAGCTCGATAGTGCTTTGTTCAAAAAAGTAGTTGGAGTCGCAAGTGTTTCAATTAAAAAATAACCTCCACATTTTCTAGTATCTTTTAAATAAAAATAAACTTTTACTTATAGTTCCGTAGAAATCCTTGTCGCTGAAAGGAAAGAATCTGAAGAGGTAAATTTTATTTCCCATCTCTTGATAACTCACCAGCCCTGAGCACTTTGAACACCTTGACAGCAGTACCGAAGCTGTTAACAGCCTTGCAGGTGTAGGTTCCAAAGTCACGTTCATCAAGGTCGAAAAGTCTTAGCTGGGCCGACTTTCCACCGCCAGTCACATGCTGAAAGTAGCCTGATGGAAACTGCTCGTGCTCTGAAATAAGAAAAGGTAGAATCCAAGTTATGTGTCTTGACGTACTTGCGGCCTCACACTGCTTAACTCCCAGCTTTACTTGAAAGAACTTATAAATAGCAGTAAGAGCGTCTAGGGTGCCTTAGGATTAAACGACATATTAAAAGCGTAATCCGGTAATTACTTCACTTATCCCATGTGCGAGTATCAAGCGTAACCACATAACATTTGCATCGATGCTAATGTTCGCTTATTGCTTGGAAGGTCGCAAGTTTGCAGCACAAAGTTTACATCGCATATTGTGGGCTTACACCGGCAGCACATGTGGGTATTTAGTGTGGGCACACGGAGGCATATAATAAAACTTTTACAGATCCATTCTCGTGGGCATGGAATACTTAAGTTTCGCTTCTAAGGTGGTAGTGTTCACAACATAGATGTCTTAGCAACGATTTCTACAGACACAATTGACAGGCAAACACGGCTCCAGACTTTGTGGATGCCAGCCTGTTAAACGCAAGAATTGTGACCATCCTGTACTAAAAGTCAACAGCATTCCAAGGTGAACAAATCAGCAGAATAAGATTGTGTTGAAAAGTTTATCACAGGTTCTAATAAAAGGTGATTTATTATTCGACTTCAAACAGAAAGACCGCCTAATCTCGATTTTGTATGTTTGCTAATCAGTCGTTGTGCAGAGCACATTTCATCCCAATAGGATTCGAGAATAGTCATTATTAGCACATGAGCTTTTTGTTGAAGAACTTATCTTTAAAAAGGGATACTGAAGGGTTGTAAAAGACCTAATGAATAAGCTGAAAAAACTAAGAGGAAAGTGATTTTTTCTTCGAGTGAAGCTCTCTGCCTCCACCGGAAATAAATTCGATACCGAGCGGGTTCGGCTCCCGAACTACTGTGAATTATTTCGTTTAAAAAGCTCTGCATATGAATACAATGAAATGCTCTCTTATTGAAATTCTATGTTGCTGCATTATAACGAGATTGAGACCAAGGTTAATGAAAAATGGCTATTCAAAATGGGCAACGGAAGAAAAAGAGGAATTGTTGTTCAATTTCCAAGAAATTACCTATCGAGATTATCAAATTGCTTAATAGTCTTTAAGCACCCATTTTGTATTGCGGGAGGGATTTTCAAAGTCAAGAGATAGGGTAAGGAATCACTTCTGGTGCCTTACTTTAACCCTACGCGACCTCGAACTCTGAAAACGCTAATTAAAGGCTAACAAGTGAACTTCTTGTCTAACAATTGCTCTTTGTTGTAGGGGCTCCTCAAACCAGTGTGCAAAGTTCTCTGCTATGGACAATCAATCATTCAAGCAATAAACGATAGGAATCAAACGTCTGCAGACATACTGGGAACGTTTGGAATTTCCTGGGAGTTGAAGAACCAAATGAACTGCACTGGATTCTTCAGGTTGGAGGAAGCAAGAGTGCATCGAAGATCCAAGTCTCCGCCACATGGCACGTAGACGACTTCAGATGAAGGATTTTCAAACTGTGGCGGTACTAAAGACGATATATAAAGAAATATGCCCCTCTTTGGGAGTACTTTTCTCTGAGGCAATAGAATGAAACGGTTTAAATACACAGCCTTTGGGTAAAATATATGGCAGTACTCTTGCGGTGAGATGTACATTCCCGGTAATAACGGGTAATACCAATCATTGCAGAATTTTAGTGTGAGACTATGTTAGCAAAGTTCTCGCTTTCCAACGACTATGAAGGCCACCGCATTATTTACTTGAAAGTATAAGTGGAAGTAGTGAGAAGAATGATTAAATGCATTTTCTGAAACTGCTTAAATTTCAGCCAATCGGAAAACGAGTGTTCACGGCCTCCTTCATATTGCCACTATAGTCAAAAGGTGAACCAGACAAAAGTAGCATTAAAGTAACTGAGATGAAGTTAATTTAAATGAATACCACTAAAAATTTATACTGTATAAGAAGATGATTTCACCAAACATTAAAATAGTTAATAATGATAAAACTATTGAAGTTAATGACTTACTAGAGTCGAAAGAACTGCCAAGGGTACTACGGCTACCGAGAGATTGACTTGAGTCTAGAAGAAACAACACGTAACAGCATAAAAATGGTAAGTGGACGGGTCGATATATCAGAGGGAAGACTTCGTTATCAGGTAATTCCGGAAGAGCACTCACGGATAGCTCGAGATTTACGTTTTCTGACAGATTGACTAGGTTCGCCCCGACCAAAGTTAGTGACTGCCACAACACGGAGTACATACTCTTGCGTCGGATCTAGACCTTCTAGGGAACATCGAGGCTGCTTCAAGCCCTTTCGGAAGGTCTCCCACTCATCTGAGCCACTTCCAGAGCCTACTCGCCGAATTTGAACTTCATAAGTGAAAGGTGTCAATGTCTGGGTTAGGTTATACATCTTTGGTGTCTGCCAACGCATTTCCGGAGGTTCGCGACCCTCCAGAACGCCTGTGGCTTCTCGCACCGTTGGAACCACGAAAGAGAGATCAGGAATAACTAAAAGAGACAAACAGGAAGTTATACCTTTAGTCTCATAAATCCCAAAAGCTGGATATAACTTTTCAAGAGGTTGAACTCACCAACTTGAGCGTCAACGTGAGTTGCACGAGAAGGAATACCCTCACCGAACTGATTTCTCCCAACAATGCGAAAAGAGTAGGGTAGAAGGGGATTCACTCCACTCCATGCAAAGACTGGTGTTGGAAGCCCTGTGGCAATTTTCTCCCACTCCTTCCTATTGCCACACATAGCCTAAAATAGTGTGTTAATCATAAGTGATGTTGTGGTGTTTCAGCATCCCGCTGTAGGCTGAGACAGAAATGTACAAAATATATTAGACTGTCATTTGCTTTTAACTTAAATCTACCTGAACATACTCTCCAAATGGCACATTTTAGCTGAATTATAACTTTGCACAAATCAACAAACAAATGTGGCTGTAATGCTGATCAGTTTAGTGGTAAAGTACGAATCACCAAGGCTGGAGCTGAATATCCAGACCCCGCATGACTAGACATTCGCGATGCTGGTAGGAATGTGTACAGACTCCAGTTATTTCACCAGTCCTATCCCTTCTACGTGATGCTCATGGATTTTACATCTTGGAACAAGGTTGGAGCATTGGCTTCGAAGTGAAAAAGAAAAGAAATGGAACGAAAAATCACCTCAACATCAAAAGTGAGGTCTTCTTCCAGACTCTGCGGCAGTGTAGATGCCAGGATGTTATTGCTAAAGAAACCCGTCAGGTTCTCCTCAGGATAGGAAATTTGGTATTCATCTACTTTGCTCACATCCACCTTGGCCTTGTGGTAGGAGAGATCAGGCGCCAGTTCAGCTGTGGGGGAAAAATACTCTTTTAACATCAAGACTAGTGAGATGTAAGCAAAGGTGTCTGATTTAATTTAATTTTAAAAAGCTGAAGCGTCAAAAGGTCATGAATTGTATAAATTTAATTCTGCGTTTCCGATTTTCGTAGTTTACGCCACTAATTCAAACCCTCGGCACGAAGAAAGACGGATCAGACTCCACTACCTTTGCTCTGCACGTAATTTATAAAGTATTATTGCGGAGTCGATCCCTAGCAAGGGGAATAATTGTTCTTTTTTTCAAATTATTCCATGAATTTGATGACGTAAACATACACAGATTCAGAAGTGATTTCCTGAGGAGTTCAAAGCCTTGGGTTGGTAAAACAAACTCTAGGAGATGCTGAAAGCCATTAATGAAAATCCCCACTTTTCATGCATCGAAAACTGAGTGAACGTTACAAAACTAACCAGTCTTTATATTGATCCTCACAGGCCTACTCGGGGCACAGGGCTGACTGTTCAGAAAGGCAATGACTCGATACTCATTTCCGTACATCTCCTTGGGACAGTCACGTAGTGTTGCCTTGCCTGTCAACTCGTCCTGGAAGCTCTCTACAGTTGCCACTGCATACCAGTCTGATGAGAATGCGTCACGACGCTCCACGCAGTAACTGACACGACCGCGCAATTCTGCATTCTCCTCATAGCCACTGTCACCCATTCCGCGTGCTGCAGAGGGACAAGACAGTTCTCGACGTCCCATCAATTCCAGCGCATCAATGGCCTCGTCTCCTAGACGCCAGCGCAGAAATACTGATCGAGGAGCAACTATCAAAACCTTCAAGTCCTCCACACAGCTAAAATAAAGCACTACTGCTAAATACAATGTTCTGTAGAAGTCGAAACATAAAAAACATTGTATATCTTACCCTTGAAGTTCTGACAATCGTTTGGGGGTATGGATGGCTGGCACTTCCACCTCTGGTCCCTCACCGAATCGGTTAATTGGTATAACTCGGTACCGAAGGGTGGCGCCGCTCATTGGCGTCTTGTGTACAAAAAATGTTTTAGAGGAACCTATTAGAGTGCCGACTTCACGCCACGCTCCATGGTTCTCTTGAACCTCCACGCGGTAGGAAGTTGCTTGTGGAGTGAAAAATGCTCCGGGCTCCAACTGTTCTTCCAAAATTCTTTCCCCTTCAGTTTGACCAGAACAATTCCAGTCAAGCAGAACGGAAAAGACCCCGCCTTCCTCCTTTGGCTGAATGAGGTGAGCCCGCAGGCCCTCCACAGGCGATGGAAGAAGTTGGCGCTTGGAAGGCAGTCGTACCTGCCTATAGGCATTCAGCCACCCCGAGACAGAACCATCATTTGTTAGGGCCAGAAGGCGAAGCCGTTGTTCAGCGGATGGGTGAAGAGCCAAGTCTAGACAGTAGGAGTCTCCGAGAATGGGTTGTGACCGAGGTCCAACTGGTTCCCACAGGCCTTCAGTTTCAGCTGTATAACTACTTGGCATCACAGCACGTTCAATGCGGTATTTGCCATGTAGACTGTCATCTCCATAGTGAAACGTTTTATTCCACTTAAGACTAATACCATCCTCGATATCTGTAGAGGTTAGCCACAGGGGAGCTCTTCCTACGTCGTCTGCAAGCGCAATTATTGGGAGAGAGAGTAGCGCTTCATCTGGACGAGTTGATTTCTCGAGATCTGAGTCTGAGTGTTTCGGCAGACCGAAATTGGTAAGTCTTAGGGATTTTGTAGGCAGGGTCGAACCGTAGTCGTTTCGACAGATAACTCGAACCTCCGGACTTTGCGAATTGGAAGTACATGCTTCTTGGACGCCTCGCACAATATACGTCGGAAGTCTGTAGGTCGTTGTGTCAACTATACAATCGTCTACAACATGCCAGGGCCCAGTTCGACCTTTTCTCCATTCAAGTGTGTAGACGGGTTTCAAACCACTCACACAGTCATCACAGTATTCCGGGAGATAGGCCTCTTTCCAGTGTACCATGAGTCCTAATTGACCTCCCTTCTCGGTATGACTGACATCGGGCCTAATGACGGAAACCCATGGTGGATCCATTGCAAGATCTGGGATTAAGTCCTCTACTGGAAGATTGACAATTGCCGTGGCGCTTGGTTCGGAGGTTCCAAACTCATTATAGGCCCGAACGCGTACCATTGTGGAGACTCCGGGTTTTAAATGATAGATGTAGGTTTTATCTTTCAGACCCGAGGCTACTGGCTTCCATCCACCCTTTGTGCCCTCGCGTACTTCCAGAATGTAGGAGACATTCGATGGTGCTCCACTAGTAGGACTAGACCACGTGATCATGACTGAGGTTAAATCCAAATTGGAAATAGCAGGTTTGATGGCATGCATGTTCGGCACACTAGCACGTGGCGGAATTTTGAGTACGGGCTGAGAAGGTGGACCGGTTCCAAGAGAGTTTTCAGCATGGACCCGCAACTGAATGGGTTGGAGGGGTGTTACAATAGTATGTGGTAGGGTAGCACGTGTGGTTTGAAGACCAGTAAGCACAGGACTCCAGAAGTAGCCATTATCTTTGGACATTTCCACGGTATAAGCAATGTTGCCAGATTCTTCCGAGGAAACTGGACTCCAACAAATTGTCAGCTCAGTCGGAGTCGCGCTTTCAAGCATTAGACCTTCTGGTGCAGCTCTTGGAAGACCTAAAAGTGAAGCGTAGCCGTCCGGTGAACACTATGAAGGGAAATGGCATTAGGGCGTTGACAGTTCCAATCGCTCACCCTGTCGTGGAGGCCGAATTTTGCTTGTTCCAACCTCTGTCTCTTCCAACGGTTCAGTCATGCCTAAACAATTCCCTTACAAATTACTCACAGGAAAAGTAACTCGAGCTTTCATACTACTTTGGGTTACGTACCATCTACGGAAATCTGTGCAGACGTCTGAGTTTTCCCCAATTCGTTAACAGCACTGCATATATAAGTACCACGATCTTTTGGTTCTATGGAAAAGATCTTCAATGTGGAGGTGTTGTCATAGCTTCGGACTCGGTGATGATAATCGGATTCCACGATTTCACCATTGTGTCTCCTGCGAAGTAAAGAGAATTGTTCCACTCGGTATAGGTGGGACATAATAAAAACACCCTCGACTCACCAGAAAAAGTGTGGAATAGGGTCACCAACTACACGACAAGTTAATTCCATGGTTTCCCCAGACAAGCAATCCAAGTCGGTGAGCTTTTTTGTGAACATCGGTACAATGCCGTGAGAAGCAACAATGGCTCTGAAAGTAGCATTGATTTTTTTAAGAGAACGAAATCAAGTTATTCGTTTTATGGGTGCAGTTAGTGAACTTTACCATGGAGCAATGGTATTTTGACAAGAGCAGAGTAAAAAACGAGTTTATTAATACAGTCTCTAAAAATTTCCAGGACATTCTACCGATTTCGAAAAATTTCGTTCTGGATTCCTTTTATTTTTCCTCTTTAAATTCGATTGGAATAACACAGTTAAAGCAACCACTTGTGCAATGGGAGGTGAACATTCAAAGACTGAAAACACACAATGAACAGGAAAAAAGTTAAACAAGAGTTACCAAATTAGCTATTTAAAATTTTAACAGATTGTACCTGCATTTTGAACTGAATGGTTAAACAGTGATAAAAACACGGTTACGAAAGTCAATCTAACAACCTACGTAATCTTATTAGTGAGTTTTGACATTTTAGGTCGTCTTCTCAACTTACTGTGATGCTTTAAGCTGCACCTATCTTTGCATCCTTTTCTCTCTTAGAGGTTACTTAATCGCTGTTGCCTGACTGAAGCACACCAGCATGTGGGCAAGTTTAGACGAATTGTAGTTCTGGCTTGACGTATAAAAGTCAGCGTATTGGTAACTATGTTGTCCCTGTCTAAGCCTTAGGAGCCTTGTTGTTCCAGGCAGAATGCGCATTCATATAGCTAACTTAATCTCTTTTACTTGGATTACGTAACTTTAAAGTATCCCTCGTTTGTAGTAATGGAAGTTCGACCGAACTATCATTTAAATTAATCTAATTTGTGCAGTTTGGTGTGTCAGAATGCATGCACACAATAAGAAATAATAACTACGTGGCATAAACAAAGACTCAAGGGCTAGATCAAATTCAGGAATACTGTGGCACAAAATACATGTTTCTTAAGTAAAGTTTTCAGCAGAAAGAAGTCGTTAGTTGAAAAAGCTCACCGATTTGGTGTGTCAAATGGCATAGCTCCAAAGTCCGATTTGCCTCTGACATGGCACGAGGTCATTATGGGTTCCTTTCCCTGTCCACTAGTCAGTCTGAGCTCATAATCACCCAGGTGATGCTTGCCAGCGGCAGGGATGGTCAAAGCGAAGTAGTTTCCACTATCCCACACCACGTATTCGGAGGTTCTCGAAGGCTAAAAAAGCCTCATAGTGACACGTAACCAGAAGACTAAGTGGACCCAGATCATCAGATACTACTTACGTTGATATCATGTCCATTCACTGACCATATCGGCGTTATTCCGTGAATAGGCTCGGCAATCTCTGCATCCAGAGTAATGGTATCGCCCTCCAAAACACGAATCTCTTTCGGCAATTCTTTGGTGAAAATAGGAGCCTTGGAAGGAGAGGGACATGGGGCTGCTTCAGCAGGAAATACCAAAAGTTCTGGGAAGTCAACCTCCCATCCAGTTCCATAACCCTCCTCATCTGCCGCCTCGGCCAGAGGCTCCTCCTTAATTGTTGGCAGAGGATTATACGTGACTGAATAAAAGCCAACATCATCCAGAGTCACTGCAGGCTTGTGCAGGATCACAGAAGTGTGATCACGATTCTTCTCCGAGGCTTTGATGGAGAAGTCGTGACATGGATCATCTGGCGACAAAGGAATGCCATTGCGACTCCAGGAAACAGATTCTGGTGGTACCTTGTCCACTGGCACGCTGAGGTCCGCGACAAGACTTATAGACTGTCCCTCGCACGCTGTGAAGCCTAGAGGTTGGCAAAGGTTTGGTTGGACTTGCAAAACATTAACATTCTCTTCCTCTCCTTCCACTTTCCCATTATCCCCCGTCCGACTTCTCTGCTTTGCCAGTGCTTTCTTTGCTGATACAATTTCCACTGGGATGGAAAGATGCCCTTTAATCGGACACGTATCTGTTGGTACTAAAAACAAACGAAAGCAATCAAATGAATGAAAGAATGGCAAAGAATCCTCAATTTCACTTAATTTACCTATGGTTAACTCATAGTCTCCAGAGTCGAGGAGGACAGTGGAGTCAAGATATAATTGAGCCATGAGCTCTCCGTCATATCTTTTGCCGAGAGGATTTGGCTCAAGCAGACGTTGAACTCGTTTGCCAGAACGAACTGGCTGACCGTTGAGGGTCCACGAAACAGACGTTACTTCTGGCGGAACACCAGTGACGGTGAGGCATAAGGGTTCACCAGCTGGAACAGGTATCTTTTCGTGTCCCAGGCGTCTGTTTGCATTAGCCTCGATGCACCGAAGTTCAACGGTTTCAACCAGTTTAGTTTCCAACTTCTCCTCCACAGGCGCAGCCTCTTCCAACTTCTCTGCAACTTCTTCAGAAACCTTTTTCTTTCTTGACTTTCTTTTCCCTTCTTCCCCTTCACTTTCACTGGACTTCGACTTTTTCTTCCGCTTTTCTTTCTTCTCCTCTATACCCACCTCTTCTGGCTTTCCTTTCAGATCATGGACCTGATTGCCCTCGGCTTTCTCTTCATCTTCTACCTTCATCTTTTCTTCAGTTACGGCTAAAGCCTCAAAATCGATTTGCTCTTCTTCCTTCAGTTTAGTTGAGGCAGGAATTTTTGAGGACACCTCTTCAGTTTGAGAGGAATCATTTGAAGGTGCATCCGAAACCTTTACAATTATTGTAGCGTAAGGTTTTTCTTGAGATTTAAAGCCACGCTTGATTCTGGGTTCGCCCATCAGTACATACGTTGCAGCATCCTCAACTGTAGCAGGTTCTTTCTTGGTCATTTCGATGATCGTAGATTGTGGGGGATCTGGTTTTGACCTGGAGACAAATTTGGCACTTCTGGAAGTAATTCCGTCCACATCTAAGAATGGTTTTCCATCTTTTGTCCACCAAAGTTTTTCATTTTTGAAATGACGAGCGTCAAGAGGAACCAAGGTAGCTAGTTGCAGCTTGTCACCAGTCGTCAAGGAAACAACATTTTCTGTCAAAGACGAAGGCGCTTTTGATGGTGACTCTTTCTCTACTTCTAGAGGGGATTCGATCTCTTTTTCTTGAACAGACTGAACGCCCTTAAATTCTGGAGCGCTTTCAAGTGACTTCTCCTCACTATCTTTATCGTCACCCTTTGCTTCCATTGGTTTCGCCTTGCCAGCTTCTCGTCCCTCTAACACCTCTTCTGCTTCAACAATCTCCTTCACCGACTCATCCTTCTTTTCTTCCAACGCAGTTGGGATTGCCGCAACTTCCTCCTCACCCTCATCAACACCAATCTTGGGTTTCTCTACCACAGACACAACAATTGTGGCATAAGCTGTTTCCTGTGGTCTGAAACCACGCCTTATTCTTGGTTCACCCATCAGCACATAGGTCGCTGCATCCTCGACAGAAACAGAATCTTTCTTGACCAATTCCACAGTGGTGGAGCCCGGAGACTTGGTGATGGATTTGGCGGTGAATTTCGAGCTACGTGACACAACTCCATCCACGTCGACTAATGGCTTTCCATTTTTCGTCCACCATAGTCTATTGCTCTTCATTTGACGAGCATCAAGTGGAATTTGGGTGTCGAATCGGAGCTTATCGCCTTCTGTATATTTCACTGCAGCTCCAGATACATCAGGCTTCTCTCTAACAGCCTCCTTGCTTTCTGTTGGAGATTCGTTTCCTTTGATCGTTTCCTTATTCTGATCTTTTGTAGACTGTTCACTTACATCAACCGACGACTTGCCACTTTCAGCTTTTCTTCCAAAAGCATCATCTTCATCTATTGTCCTTCTTGACCGAACCTCACTTTCCTTGACTTTCTCCTGAGAGATATCTTTACTCTGAACCTCCTCTTGTTGATTCTGGTTATCATTTTCCAGTTGGACAGGCTGTGTTTTACTGGAGTCTTCAATTTCCTTAGTCTGCAACTCATCATCGTTACTTTTATGAGACTTCGGTTTCTCTACCACAGAAACCACAATCGTGGCATAGGTTGTTTCTTGTGGCCTAAAGCCGCGCTTTAGTCTTGGTTCACCAAGAAGCTTATACGTTGCAGCATCATTCATATCAGTGGGTTCCTTCTTAATCAATTCTACCTCAGTAGATTTTGGTGACTTCGGAGTGGACCTTGAAAGGAACTTAGCGGTTCTTGGAGTAACACCATCTACATTAAGGAATAATTTTCCGTCCTTTGTCCACCATAGTCTATCACTCTTCATTTGACGAGAATCCAATGGCACTTTGGCAACCAACTGGAATTTATCACCTTCTATCAGTTTGACAATGTTTTCAGAAGTAAGAGCTGCTGCAATCGGCTCTTCTGTCTTCATTCCTCCTGGTGGTAAGGTGGAGAGGACTTCGTTTACGCCCTCCAAATTCGCCTTACCCTGTTGCTCTTCAGCCTCACCTTCAAGAGGTTTTACCATTGTCTGCAGCTCTTCTCTGCTCTTATCTTTACTCGTTTTCCGTCTTGCCTTAGTTTCACCGACTTTTTCCGTCTGTGACACTCGTGCCGTTTCATTGATTTTTTCGGTCGGAAGTCCCTCCGTGTCTTCTGAAACAGATTTAAACGCTCCTACAGACTGCTCCATGGTCTTAACAGGCTTTGACTCGGCATCGCTCTCAAAAGACCCCTTAATCAATTCCCCTTCATTACCTCCACCATCGCTACTCAATTCTTTATTCGTCTTCTCTGGCTCAATTCCGCCGGCTTTTTCCCTGTCTTGTGAGCTCTCTATTAACTTGACGTCGAAGTCATTCAAGGTGCTTAAAGACTCTTCTTCTAAAATCGGTTGTTCAGCTTCTACCTTTAATTCTGGCGCACTTTCAAGTGACTTCTTCCTCGTCATAGATTCCCCCTCACTATCTTTATCGTCACCCTTTGCTTCCATTGGTTTCGCCTTGCCAGCTTCTCGTCCCTCTAACACCTCTTCTGCTTCAACAATCTCCTTCACCGACTCATCCTTCTTTTCTTCCAACGCAGTTGGGATTGCCGCAACTTCCTCCTCACCCTCATCAACACCAATCTTGGGTTTCTCTACCACAGACACAACAATTGTGGCATAAGCTGTTTCCTGTGGTCTGAAACCACGCCTTATTCTTGGTTCACCCATCAGCACATAGGTCGCTGCATCCTCGACAGAAACAGAATCTTTCTTGACCAATTCCACAGTGGTGGAGCCCGGAGACTTGGTGATGGATTTGGCGGTGAATTTCGAGCTACGTGACACAACTCCATCCACGTCGACTAATGGCTTTCCATTTTTCGTCCACCATAGTCTATTGCTCTTCATTTGACGAGCATCAAGTGGAATTTGGGTGTCGAATCGGAGCTTATCGCCTTCTGTAAGCTGAATGATGTCACCGCGCCTTGATTCCCTAATCTCCGATTTTTGAGACGACTTCTGCTTAAGGTCATTTATTTCAGTTTCCTTTTCGCCAACAGGATAATCCTCCTTCTTTTCATTAAAGATCTCTTCCTTTTCTAAAACCTCCGTTTCTTCACTTTGTGGCTCTTCTTCAATCCCCTTTTCTACATTCAAAACGAAGTTTGCTTTCATTTTTCCATCCACCCATAAGGTGTATTCCCCAGAATCAGAACTAGTTAAAGTCGGCTTAGTTAACTCAATACTTGAGGGCCTTCTATGAACCTCAAAAACATTGATGGGGATCCTTCTCCCATTCAGTGTCCACGAAACACTTGAAGTTGTATCAACGACTTCCAAAGCTATTAGTTTGAACGGTCCGCCTTCTTTTGTGTCAATTTTAGTTGGTTCTATGTACTTTTGGATAAAAGGTTTTACAACCACGGGCGATTCATTCAAAGTCGTTGAAACTACTGAAGTGTCGATAGTTTCCTCCTCAACTGTGGCGTCCGCGTCTTCCATTAAGGAAACGTCCTTTAAAGGAGGTTCATGATCAATGTGAATGATGCCCATTTTCGCTACACGGTAGCGTTTCTGGTCTTCAGCAGCCTCCGACATCATTGTATTTGATGTTTCTTTTGCCTCATAGATTTCATTTTGAGTTTCAGGTAGCAAAATTATTTCCCCATCGTGAAATTCAACAGAACCTTCTTCATCTTCATTTGGTATTGCCAATCTTGATAATTCAACAGTTTTTAAGCTCAGCTTGCTAACTTCGTTTGTTGGATCTATTCCAGCTTCCGAATCGTGCACCACCACAGCGAATGGGAAAATTGCTTGCATTCCAGATGGCCAAGTGAGAGTGCATTCATAACATCCCTCATGCAGTTTTTTTGATACCTTAGGGACTAGTAAGTACGCAGTATTGCCCTCGGTACGAGGATAGGCACCCATGTTCTCTGCATCGATTGGAGTCCCGTTAAAAGTCCATTCAGTTGTGTAGTTGTCATTGTCCGAGGTAGAAGTCTCAATGTTCAATTCCATTTCACCACCTTCAGACGAATTAATATGCTGCGGTTCTGAACGATGCACATAGGGCTTCTCTGTCTTGATTGACTGCGTTATCAAAACCTGGCTAATCTCTGATTTACCTCGGTTATAAGTTAGCGTATTATAGCATACCTGCAGTATTGCTTTCTCCCTCAGGAATTTGTTCCATGAAAGGGTTAATGACACCGTCAAGCGTGTTGACGGAATCTGTAAAGGAATATTAAAGTCAGTAAAGGTACATTTCCGCAAAGTGGGAATAGGCTACAGCAGGCAGGTGGCACAGTAAGGAAGTGAGAAAGAGTTATTTGGTGTGGAAGAGCAGCCAGAAGGCCCTATCCCACTGCTCCCGATTGGAGCCTTGGCTGAAGAGAGAGGGGAAGGAAGGTGACTACACGTACCAATACTTATAATGCTGTCCGGACGCTGCTTCGTCGTACCTTGTTTAGGTAGGTGCATAACTGGTCCCTCCGCCGTGTGGTAGGATAGGGATGATTCATCGTCTAATGGCGATTGGAGATCGGGAGGAATCGAGGGAAAGGAACCAATACAGTGGTTTTAGGCTCAATGATGCCTCAACATAAAATCATTACGTCATAATTTCGGTGGAGTTATGGTTACAAGAAGATATCATATTTTTTTCATCAAAACTACAGCAGAGCAATTTCAATTATTCTGCTAACCAGACCATTGAAGGGCTTATAATCACAGAGTAGAAGTTCAAAAATTAAAGGCAAGTGTCAGACATTGCCGTCAATGCTAATTCCTCAACAATCGACTAAATTGTAGGGGATAAACGTGACTACACAGGCAGATTCGGCTATCAACTCCGACCTTCTCATTGTAAATATAGCCACGTGAACTTTTGACCGGTCAAACCTTCAACACATTAATGAAAAAAAGAAATTCTCATATGATGCAGCCTTCAGGTAGAATTCTGTCCCACTTTTTGCTAGATAGTTTAAGAAGTTTAATTTGACTTAGAAATGCTGTTCTTATGCAGCATTGAAAAGACCAATTAAACTGTTACTCTTCGTGTCTTCATCGGCTCCGAACGAATTGCCCGCTGTTACAGATGATTTGCCTCACTTCTTGTTATGTTTGTCTGATTTATTTTGACCAAAACGTCAGAATGATTGCGATTTCTTGACTTCGAATGTCAGATCTCAAGCAGTATTACTCTCATTTCTAACAAAACGAGAGAAATCCGCATAGTGGGGAGCTCGTTGTAATTCTTCCTCAGTGTGGTCAGCTTAGTGCTTTGTTTTTACTCTCTATCTGACGTTTGAATCAATGGATCACAGATGATATATAGAGCTCTTTAGTCCTCGTGATAGCGAAAGTTGAGAACACTTCCAAGCATTAAGCTATCGAAGCAGTTCACTCTTAACTGTTTCTTATTTTATATTTGCCAATGACAGCCATTAAGATTTGCCTGGTGTCGGAGCTGAGACCTGATTAATTGGATAAAAGACTAAAGAATAGCAGTAGTTTTACTCCCATTTTAAAAATAATGATGTCATAAGACACATCAATCATCTTATTTCAAAGTAATTCTTTTCCATCATATAGAATTCCCAGCTTAACGAATAACAACACGAGCCGTACGTTCTTGTTCATCATACTTTCAATTATGCAAAAAGGTTCCTGGGTAGTGCTAGCAAGAATGACAGTCGAGCCCCAAAATCTGCCAAAGACTTGAATTAGCGCTCAAGAGAGCACACTATCTTACCTCTAGACTGTGGCAGAATGGCGTCCGAATCATAGGTCCGCGATTTTAGCATCTCCTCTGCATCATAGAAAGAGTCTGTAATTCCATCTGTTGCCTCTGTGTTGGTGTCGTCCAACAAGCTAGTTCTTGTTTGATTAGCTTCAGCAGCAGCCTCTTCATGAGCTCTCAGCAACGTAACATCCACGAGATAGTCAACGATGTCTGAAATGGGATCCACATCCATCGAAATGCACAAGAAAACAGTCGGTCGAAAAAAGGCCTTCCACGCAAGGAGGAGTAATGCGGCCAATTATCAGGACGAGGTTAGGCCAATGATGCAAATTCTGATGTTGGTTAGGACAGTGAAGTGGGAGGTCCCTCGCCAAAATTCAAATAAAATCCCCACAGACCTTTGTCTTGGGTGTGCCTCCGCCTCCTACTGACCCTAGAACGCAATTGCATTTCCCGCGTGCGTACGTGAACGCGCGCTATGTGCATGCATGACCATCGTTTATCGATCTAAGGACCGCACTAGCACCCACGCACGCGCGTGAATGGTCGATGTGAGGCTGAGCCAATGGGAGAACAGTTGCTGACGCCCAGCCGCAACCATGCAGACCGAGGCAAAATAAGTACGTGCTTCTGTGATCCCGTTTTCAGGATATCAACCAGACAAAACTATTAGTGCTCGCTAGTCTGGAAGTGCTCGCTAAATATGCCTTATTGTTAAAACAGTAAAATTTGTATCGGTAGAAAAACAAGTAACCGATTGATTTCAGTATGCTGTGGTCCATAGCCATCGTCTAAAAATAGCTTAGCGAAGGAAAAGAAGCATCAAATCTCGCTTGGAGATCAAATGAAACCGAGTATAGGGCCACACCTTTTTTCTTTAAGGCCCGCTGAATATCCTGCAACCAGGCTTGTCGACTACATGCGTTAGGGGTTGAGATGGTGTAAACAACCTTGAGGGAATCTCCAGAATTGGTAACGTTCCAAATTTCAAAACGTTCAGTGTTTAATCCTTTACTTTCCGGTCGCAGACGTATCTCTGATAGCTATAAAAAGCAACAATAATGTAAGCAGAACGGAATTTCGACTTCTATTTACTGTATTTCTTTGAACCAATTCAACATAAAATGCAGTTCACTTGTCTAGCGTTCCCGTTTGCTTCCACTTAAGCAATAAATTTGAAGAATCGGTCATTTTAAGTACTAAGATTCCTTAAAGACCACAAAGCGTGTTTATTCAAAAGGCACTTCAGAAATATGATTGAGGCAACTAACTACCTAACTGGCTTTCAAGCAATTTCATAAAAACAAGCGCCTAGGTGTTTGTAGGGTGAAAATGTCAATCAATTAGAATGCTGCCATTTGCCTTGACAATTTATTGATTGCGCCCGGAGGTCAGGGAACCTTTCCCACACCTCTGTACAATTTGCACTTAAAAGGGCAGCAAACCTTGATTTTAAGTGGAAAATATTGAGTTGAAACACCAGCCCCCTCTTACAGAATCTCACAATGATGGGAAAAAAAGTTAGTTTGGTTATTACATCTTTTAAGCCCGTAATTTCTTGGCTCAAATTTCTTATTCAAGCAGCCTTATTCAAACTGCAAAGTTGGTGATTTTGATATTGCCAAGATAATTCTCTTTTGTGTGAGCTGAGCGAAGTGGCTTAGCCACTTCTGAATCAAGGATTTCACGTTAGATCGGAGAGCGCCAAAAATATTTAGGCGAATGCACTAATTGCACTCCATCTACATTCAAGTTACTATTCCATTCGTGTTTTACAGGACTTGATTGAGATAAACTTATTTCATCGCCTTTAAGTTACAACAGAAATGGGTGGAAAAGATTTTAAATGAAAACTTGACAAATTTGATCACCAATGTCCTTGACGTTGTTACCTCATTGATTAAAGTAAATTAGATCATGCGAAAATACTTTCAAAAGAGAAGAGAAACGCATCAGTCAATTAGGTGGTTTTCAGGCAAATCACTTATCCCCGACTTCAAACAATGTGGGTCCTGTATCCTGAAAAATCCAGATAGGCAGTCGAACCGGCATTTTGCAACCTCCACTGTCAAGGTCTCAGAGGACTGAAGTTGGAACCATGCTTCTACTAAAAGATCACAGAGTTCATTTTCATGTCTCCAACCTAAGTGACCCGCGCTTGAGGGGAATAGGCCCAATCACTTTGCATGAAGTGACAAGAGATACGCATCACAAGTGATGCACAGGATTCGGTTGGAAAAATTAACAAACGAATCTGTAAAGTTGCCAACGGAAAGGTCAGCTGAAGGTCATTTCAGTGGAATTTCCATTAAGGAAGGTTCCTTTTGGCAATCAAATGCAAATAATCCGCTCTGTCCATACAAAGTACTTTCGAATTGTGCTAGTAATGCGAGGATATGACAAGTCTTAATGTGAATACAAGAACTTAACAAAGAATGATTCCAAATGATTAATGCAAATGCATTAGCGTATTCGAATGGGACTTCTTTGGGTTTAAAAGAAAGAATTGGCTCTCATATCGCATTATTTTAGTGGAAGTTTTGGATGTCACGATTTCGAAATAACAGAAAATCTAACTCGGAAAATTGAAAAATAAATCATTAGTCTAAAAGCCTGCGAAGGTGAGGGCCTAATTTACCCACCCAGAAAGAGTTAAGGCCATGACCTCCTGCCTCCCTCAGAGGCTGCAGTTTGTACCTACGAACTCCTGTTCAACCAATTTTGGGTTTAGCACCATAATTTAGCACTTTTTTGGAGAAAGGAAGGCTTGACATTTCTTACCGGCAAAATCCATGAGATTTCATATTTTTTCTCTGCATTTGGTAGAGCCTTTATGAAGAGAATATTATCTTCATTCAGCACCAGAAATCCCTCCTCACTAAGTGCTGTACCGCCTTCGTTCATTTTGCTTTGGCTAACGTTTAATAAGGTCTAGAGAAAGAAATGCAAAATCATAACTTTACAAACAATTTGGTAGGTAATAAAACTCCTTAAGTGAGGCAAAACTATTTTAAGAAGTCTCGTAGCAAGGAAAAGTCCACCTTTCTCTTAGTGAAAATTTCCCCCAACGTCGGACCGCATTTGCAGAAGAGCAAAGTTTTCTAGGAACTGGATACATTCGTACAAAATGCCATCTCAGACGCTTGACAGTGGTTAGCAGGATGACAACTGGCAGAATTACTTCACTTTCGACCATTTTATGTCCAGTACACATAAAATAATCGTAAACCGTTACATCCCTCCATTTCAGACTAATTATGGTATTCTTTTATGGCCATTTATAAACAAAATCTTGCATATTTTAAAGGACAACAACTGCCCGTGTATTGCGATTATTGTGGACATTTAACCTAACCGAATGAAATTCCATTCATGTGTTGTTAATCAGCTAAGGGAAGCAAAATTCACTTTATCAAGGAGCCAGAGAAAGAATTTCAACTTCTACTTGCCAGATATCACTCCAAATGCACAAATCTAGAACGGAAGTATTAAAGGGTATCTTACTAACCATTCTGGTGATGGGCTTCGGTAACTGATTAGCATCGACATATGCATTTGATGAGGGCAGAACTCCAAGCGATCCGTCCACCGGCATGTTGGCAATAAATGGCCAAAGCCTCAACGCCTCCGTCGACCTTCTTTGAAGCCTTCTCACCACTGTTATGGCTTTTTCTAGACATCGGGTATCTTGTTCGTTCCTGCTGGTGTATCGCGCAAGGCAGCTAAGCAAATGTTCATATGCCGAGAGGTGTGTTCTCGGTGCGAAAAGGTATTCTAAGAGGTGTTGGGCGTCAATTCTGCTCTCCTGTTCGTCGTTCTCCGGTGCCATGCAGAAGAGGTGGTTTAGTTTTGGGTCGGTAAGTAATGGCTTGAACGACTCCATCCATCGATTCAGGTGATAAAAGTAGCCCGAATATTGTGCCCATTCTGACTCCTGAGTTGAAAAAAATGCTTTTACCTATGGCTTTATGCAAATATCTTTTTTCTAAGGTATGGCAAATTGACCAACATTTTGGAGGAAACATGTTGCAGCATTAGGCGGATCCATCACACAGGTCTGGAGCTTGGTCAGGGTGCTAAAGAACGAAGAAGCTAAATATGAGAACTGTCATGTGCAATACGAGGGAGCTTCACAGGATCCCCACCTTTCCGAGAGATTAACAATTCTGTCGATATGCGAGAGCATCCTCTTTGTGGCCTCAATCATCTCTTTTGGAAGAGGAAGTTTCTTGTCATCTTTTATTTGAGTGCCATCAAGACGTTCAAGAATATTTCGTAGCATCTTAATGCGCAACTGGTAACCCTCCTCTTCTTCGGACAAATCTGTTAATGCGTGTCTAAAAGCAAAGAAACGCAAAATGTGCTACTTAAACGAATGGCAATAGCAGTAGCAGCTAAATTTGCTAGGATGCAGCCATTAACGGCCTGAAACTATACCCGAGGTCTCATAAATTATAAAGTTAAATGAGTTACTTGCAAACGAAAGCAGTTTTTTTGCTATGGATGACAAGCGTGAACAAATATTATTGCGGAACTTCCGAAGTAACCTTAGAATTTTCCTCGACTTGACAACGGCGGCACTAATTTCTGATATTTAAGAGTCAGTTGTCCTGTATAATCTTTCACTCAACAGAACTTGAAGGCAACAGACTTTGCAATAGGAACGAAACGATAAAAGATAATGGGTTTTCTAGTTGCATATGCACAAACAATTTCTCCATCGGTAGCTTATCCACGAGATAAGTGTGCTTGCCCAAGCAGGCCTCTTAGTCCTGCGGCTCGTGGCTTGGCGGGGCAAACTGGCCTCGTAGTCATCCGAACAATCGCAATTCATCATGGGTTGACTTACTCCGCCTTTAAGTTAGCCTCTGAAGTGCTTGCTTAAAGTAGTAGAAACCAAAACCATTGCAAATGAGAAAAATCACTGATTCAGAAAAATGCCTACTGGATCCGAATTCTGAAAAAGAATGACATTTGGGTCGTATCGATGGATAGACTTATTGAAGATTTAGGGGAAACAGTAAATATAAAATGTGAATTTTAAGGTTTTTGCAAGATTCAGAAAATGGCTTCATAAAATGCAGAGGCTGTCCAATTTTATGGCGAAAACTTTAGCCATTTTTACAGTCTGTCCGAGAGACCAAAATTTGCTTAGCTAAGTGATGATTTCAGCAAAACTTTGAATTTAAGCAGCAGTAAAGTAATGAATCGAGATAAAAGCGGGTTTCTAGAAGGATAACATACATCCAAAAAATTCTTACTTTTCAAAAAAAAATACAGTTCAAGTTGCCATTCCTTCCAACGAAATGCAGATGTGCAGGGGAATTCACTTTTGTAAGCGGTTCTATTTTTAGACCTGCAAAATCAAGGCCTGAGCAGCCACACTTCTCTTCACTCCCACTCTTTCACTTATGTGCCTCGTACTTGATCCATTCATTGCTGACTGTCAAACATAGATTGCGTTTATAATTTTTAAATGCAAGCAAGGTATCGCCTTTATCTTTTAAATTGTTTCGTCTAAGTACTGATTCAAGGAGCTTCGCTGTTGCTCATAATAAAGGACAGGAATTTCTTCCCTAGGGCTGAATTCTCAAAACTCTCTGGGGAGGACAGTATGAGGTCCCTTCTGTCATAAAAAGAACGAAATTTCTCTTTATTCATTTTTTTCTCTCAGTCATTGCTTTCTGCCTGCGGCCCTAAATTGAGAATAGCGAGAATAGATGCTCGCGAAATGCGAGGTTTATCAGTTGACTTTGGAAAGAATGGATAGATGAAGAATGCGAATGCACTCCACATAATCCTCGATTGTCACCTATCGGTGCACGTGAATGGGCCATAATTTCGTGGCCTGCGCAGCCTCCCTTCGCCAGGCTCAACGGATGCAGCTGAAATCGCCTTATTTCTTAAAGCACACCTAGGAGAATACTTGTGATTCGTCTGCCATATCTACTACGAACTTAATTGATGATTGAAGAGTAGTCGTGGGTTCACTTTCATCTTGTTTTTGCATTTTTAAAACAGATACATAAATCTGTAGAAGAAATAAAATCAAATCCCTTGAGTGAAAGTTCCAGCCACGCTTGGTTAAGAGGCGAAAACTTATGACGAGTAGTTTAATTTCAAAAACAAGGTTTATTTGACAGATAATTCGAGGAAGCAGTCAATGTTGCCTTCTGTAAACTAGCAGTTGAGTCTTTTAACTCCTAATTAAAATTCAATTTCTTCGAAATGTCGCACTTTTGGAAAATATTTGTGTTATTTGAGACCAGTTAAACGGTAAAATTCCAACGAGTGCATGCATTCCGCAAGCACCAAAACATTTTTGTTTTATGGGTAAAATCTGAATCACTCACTTTCTTTTCATCATACACTCTTGCTGCTTGTTTGAGATGGTTAGCACTTCGTCCCGAAACTGTTCCCTGGGGCTTTTCCCAGTTGAATGTCGATAGTGGCTGGCTACTGGCTTCTCCAACACGCAGACACTGGCCAAGCGACCGCACCTATCGGGCGCTGCCGCTTCAACCACCCAACGGTCCGGATTGTCACCATCCACGCGTTCCACAGCCTCGTCTTCTTCTACACTCACTAAATCGGGACTAGTTTCTCGCCTCCTAAAGGCTTCAACGGTGAAGGAGACATAGTATCTTCCTCGTTCGGGTTTGTCCTTCTAAAATCCCATGAAAATGCCAAAAATGCCGTAAATCGTTTCATAAAGGAGGAAGGAATAGTGAAAGCAGAAATCCGAGTAGGCGGAAGCTGCGCTTAGTTTTGGCTGGTTAAGTTGGTATAGCGTGAATTTCAGCCAGTAATAATTAAACTTGGCGAACATAAAATGGAAATCTGGTGGATACAGAAAACCTTATCCTCGTTAAGGCATCTGACTGGCTATATAAAATGCCTTTGTATGAAAGGACTTAAAAAAGTTATCAATGGATCAGGTGTTACATTTCCCTTTATCTGTGTCATGTAGAGAAGGTGGCTCCTCCGCCTTCAAAACAACCTAATCAACCGCCTGAGGAAAAACTAACTGCATAGACAACAGATTCATCCAGTCATATCCTGCACACTGCTTAGAATCTTTTGATCTAAACCTTCATTCGGGAGGCAGCAAATGAGGAAGGAATGTGACCTCAGACAGAATTAGGTGTTGCTACTGACAGACATGTACCATGCATTCCTCATCAATCCGGAACGCTGGAACAACAGTTTGGCTGAGCAATTACTAAATGGCGACTCGAGCATCGTTCCAACCTAGAGGTAATCGTACCAATTTTGCGGTAGCTTCTCTCCCTAGACGCCACTTCAACTACTGATCACCCGTCTTTGCCAATGTGCGCCATCCCTCCATCCATTCTGCATCACTCCAGACACACAACATCTCCATGCACGCCCTCTGTAAATGAGTGACTACATAATGCGCTATTTGGATTGACAGATTGGCCCAATATGCCAAATCTTCCCTCAGGTGGGGCCGCAGCGCCACGGATCGAATACTGCATTACAGGTACCAAGACCACCCCAGTGGACAGCCAACAAGTCAAGCACATACCACTCACTCATCCTCTCTGTGAGATGGAATGTGAGCGGTTGGATGTGTAGCAATTGAAAAGCTATTAATAACTGTCCAAAGCACTACCAACAGGTAACTGTAGTCCCTTAGCAGATGGTCTTGGTATTTGGATACTTTGAAGTAACGTTATAGATCTGGATGAAGATTGGACACTTACCTCTGACCAGGTTTCGAAAAGACTCTTTGAGGTATCAAAAGCGTTTATATTGAGAGAGAAGTGACTCGACTGTCTTCGGAGCTGAATGGAGTGTCGTCTCACGACACTCATCTCTGAAGGAGAGTCTGTAACATCAAACCAAAAGTAAACAGGTTTGCATAAAACGTAGAATGAATAAAACATAATGCAAGAATCACGCACCATTTGCATTTCCATCTCTTTTTGTTAACCAGTGACCAGTCTTTGACACAAGTCTTTGAACACTTAGGATTAAGCGAAATGCGTAAAACTCTTGGCTTTAATAATGCATTATAAATATGCGCGAAGGTGAATGTTTTCCGCAATTAGGCTTTTCATGCCTAATGAGGTGCCTCAGGGATCTGATATCAACCTTTTCTTAGATTAAAGTAAAGCGCTCTTATGGAGACATTTAGTAGGCATAGTGTTGATACTTTATTTGTGCAGAAACAGGACAGACTGTGTCATTTCACATAACTTTTTTTGTAGGACAATTGTTAGAACCTGTAAAAAACTTATTGAAACTACGTTAGCGGAATGGGAGTTGAGGAAGATTCATCGACTAAGGAATTTGGTTTTGCCCAACGTACTTCATCATTGGGTCCGAATATTTTATTGCGTAAAATTAAAGTCAATTCTTGCAACTTTGGTTCTGTGTCCAAAGTTGACGGAAAAAATAAAGTCAGTCCTGCTTGAAGTGGAGGCTTATTTTTAATGCCTTTTTGCGTGGTTTATAAAACGTTGCTTTTGATTCTCTGAACCGAAATAACCTGCGAGACTTTTAAGAACGAACTATGCCCTCTATGCAAAAGCACTTCACTGGTTTCAAGTTCGATTCAAAATTAGACTGATTCTATTCTTAGGCGTCCTGATGTTGGACAATTTTAACTTCACACTTTGCACCGGCTTAAACCACGCCTTTCGTTACGTTCCCTTGCGCTACTTTGACTCACAGTGATCATGAGTAGCAGCCAGGGGGATGTTGGCACAGAAGTAGATAAAATTACGCAATAAAAAATGCTTTCAATTTGACACCTTTCTAGTGAGTGGAAAACTGCCTACTTGTTTTATGCACAAAGCACTTGGTCAAGCAGGATCACAAGGAGAACGGATAGTCGTGGCATTAATTGCTGTCGTTTTTTTGCTGGATTATTTCAGGAGTTTGGGAAACGTGTGTACATTACAACCAAATTCTACATAAAAGACAATGAGTAGTGTTTCAAAATTCTTAGCCTTAGGGATTTTAAAAGTAGCTGAATTAAAAGTAAAGTGCAAGGAGGAACTGACAGTCAAAGTGTCGAACACAATAACAAATCAAATGAATTCATCAACACGCAGTCCACTGGGAAGGAAGTGAAACTCAGCAGCATCCTATTGTACCCACGATCCCGATTTCGGAAAGCGAGTTGCACTGATACAAACCTACTATATTCGAGCCCGAAAAATTGCCTTTCTACAAGGAAGATATGACTAGTGAACGAAGGGGACAGAGCGTTCTGTTGAGAGTAAAATTTAAGGCTAATTTCAATGAAGGTGGGGAATTCAAAGTCTTTCTTACTTAAATTAGTACGCGTTGCAGTCATGGCAACGCAAAGAAATGCCTATCTTTAACTAAAAACTACAATTCTATCAGAAAGTCGTGATTAATGCCAGCTTTTTTCACAGATGTGATAAAGCAGAGCGCTTTACTCCAGAAAATGCATAATTTTTTTGTACACGAGTTTCTGAAATGAGGGACAAGTACGTACGTACAAACATACCATTCATGGAGGGAAGTAACAAAAAAGAACACTGTTTAGATACATAACATGATTTACGGAGTGCTTAACCCGAAAATTCGTGAACTTTTGTCGGAAAATAACCTCGTCAAGTGGGTGGGCATGTAGGACAGCAAGGCCATAGGTGTGGTTAGTTTAGAAGTTTCGAAACGTTCACTGCGTGCAACCTGATAAGAATGTCAAAGGGCAGTAGAAAGAAAATCAACTCAGACAATGGTAGTTTATGAGGTACTCTTCCCAACATTAAAACTATTGAGTTTTGGAACCCAAAACCCGAGGCTATACGCCTTTGCAAGCGCACAATAAATCAACGTTTTCTCATCCCCTAATCTTCATTTTTATCAAGCGCATTTTAGATTGACTGAAACTGGTCAATCCTACACGGAAGGAGCTTCCTTCATTGGGCAACGTTCGGCAATAAAATTTGCCAAGGTTAGTCCATTTATGATGCCTTAGTTTTAAAGTGTGGTGTTCCAAGTCTTCGGCAAAGGCATAATAATTCCCATCACTCTGGGGAACATGTACCTTACCGTCTTTCAGAAGAGTTGGACGACCTTTGTGGTCATTAAAAACATTTGGAAAGGATTCTGCGGCATTTCATTGGATAATGCTACTTGAAGTACGAGCGAACCGTTAAAAGGTCATCACTATTCCTTCCCAAGCCTATGACCTTACAGGGGTAACCGCACCAAGGAGTCGAGCGGTCAGTCCCAGATTTGGCGTAGAAGGCGCTAGGGTTCACTTTGTCACTCTGGTAGCCGAGGCAAGGGAGCCCCTTCGCTTTCAAATGAATTAGCCATGCCAAAAGTGAAGGGAGTGGGGGCGTACTTCATACGGAAATTAACATCAATTAGCCGTCACAACTCCACCAAAAATAGCAACTTAGCTGTTTCATAAAGTCATTTAAATAGCAATTTTTTAAATGCTCAGCAATTATGAAAAAAACTTAAGCCTTGGTCCGAACAATCAATTATTTTATTAGCATGGATCCCCTTTGTTTAGCTCAATATTTATGCCATTAAATGTAATATACCCACAGATGTAAATATATTTTGGTTAATAAAAGCCACTGGAAACCTCTGATTCGCCAACGAGCATTGCCACCGGAAAAAACAAGTCCAATTAGACGGAAAAGGCACCGTCATTCAATCCATCAAAGGAATCCAGAGTAAAATGAACAATCGTGTCCATTACCTCCCCAAATTGTATTATTTTGGTCTTACCTAGAAGTCAGCCATTCCAATCGAGCATAAAGTAAAAAAGTCCAGTTAAGTACACATGGCACTCCAAATTCATTACTTTAACTAATTTGCAAACAGGATCGGAAGAAAGTATATGAAACATTCAAGTTCATTTTGACCACAGATTTCAAAACCGTACCGCCAGTGGAGGAGGAAGTCGGTTAATAGGACGTAAAGGAATTGCAGCTTCTGCCGCGAAGTTGTCGGCACCTTCGACCGTTCGAATGCACCAGTGGCGATAGTGGAATCAGAGACAGGCAAAAAGCAGACAGACAACGACATATTTAAAGCCGGACCATTTGTTAGGCGCAACAAATGTCTAATTTAAAGGTTTGCAACTCCAAAACAAGCATTTTTGTTTATCTTCTTCACTTACAGCTGTTTTGTCTTGCAAGAGCGATTTCAATTCCTGTACATGCTTAAAATGTTTACTGAATAGCTACCCCTTGACAAAAAAGGAAAAATGCTGCCCGTTATCTGGGGTGGGAGGCATTCACGTGGGCACTGCCTACCACATTCTCATAAACTTCTATTGAAGCTAAAAAATGGTTTTTATTTTGTCTCCAAATAACGCAACGGAACGGCTAGGCCATGTTACGGTTTTCTTTGTTTTAATCATTTTGCTCCAAAATTGAAACTTGTAGTTTACAGCAACACTTCAGCCTTCTTAACTTGTTGATTCTATCAGGTTGCATGTGCGTGAGTATTTGCAATGCCTACAGCATGGTTTTTACATGGGAACGTAGGAAAAATCAGTTTCGCAAAAACGGTGCGATACTAATGCGATCAATTGTCCTGACAAATGTGTCACGTAAGCACGACTGTGTGGTGGAAAGAGAATTCCTGTGAATTCTACCCCTTCCAGGGCAAATCGCGTTCCTGCCTCAAACATGTTAAATTGGTGCAACACTGAACTGATCGAGAGAATTGTGATTCCGTTTTAGTTTTCTTACTTGAAGCAGCAACAACGCGTAGCGGTTTTGCCGAATTAAAACCACTAGCCAAGTTCGTAGTGACTTCTTACAAGTTCTGCTTGCAAGAAAATATTTTTTATAGAATAAAGTTTGAGTAGAGGCAGTTGTAATGGATTGATAGAACTCAACTCAACTTAAGGTAGCTCGTTATTGTGCAGAACTGTTAACAATGCATAAAATTACCACAGAATTTAACAGGAAGTTATCGAAGGCACTTCTTTGTATGCCTTCATTTTGGGACACATGCACTGATTCTACTTTCTAGAATCATGGAGGAATGCTGAGCATTAATACTAAGAACTCGACGAAAGTACCAAAATTATTTGTGCAGAAAACAAAATTATGTGTAAAAAGCAGGACATTTTACAAAGTAACACCAAGAAAATCACTTACTTAACAGTCTTATGAATGCTTAACTTAGTGCAGTCTTCCCCTCCTTCTCTCTTCTGCCACTTTAGATGCTTTCGTACCCTCACACCAATATAATTGGTTGAGAGCACCAAATTGTCGAATTTTTGATTGGCTGTACCTGGCCAATTAGAGGAGACCTGTGTTTGTGCAACGCTTCGAAAGACGACATTCATTGGGCAATCAAGTTTATTGCTTCGAAGGCTTGATGATCCCAACGTAGAGGATCAATGAAGAGCATATATAGGCTAATATTAAGCCTATATAAATGGTTTGTAAGGATTTTTAAGTTTAAGCAAAGAAGCACTCTTACGTAGCATGCGATGCAGTTTAGCCTCGACATGCGTTTGCACTTCACAACCCTAACAATCACTTAAAAGGCGAGTCTCATTTATAAATACCCCTAAATGGTGTAGGGACGTGGGAATGATCTTGTGATTTCTTTTAGGTCAAATGTGGGAAAGCAGTTTTGGAGTAAAATATGTGAACATGGAGACTTAGTAGATCTGTAGTTGTCAATTCCCGTTAATCTAGGGCTTCAAATGGTTCAGTGGGACTGGTGCCGGTGGCTCGTATCTTCCCGGGCTATGCTTCATAACTGGGCGCTGTGATGCATAGTCGTGTTGAAATTTTCGCATAAAGTATCCGACTACTTTAAACCTTTCTATCGTAGAATAGCTGATTGAACCACTTGCATGTAACGCGAAATAGCCTACCTCATAAATCAGCTTAAGACTGCCCCAAAACTGGAGGTGTTTTAGTAAGCTTTTTTGGAGAAGCCATAGAAGGGAGAAGCTGTAGAAGCTCTTTGACTTCACCCTTGATTTAGGGGAGCATGCCTTCCGTTTGCCTTCATTTACATTACAATTTGTCTGAGCTGAAAAATGATTTTTACAAAATCGGAGAAGCAAACTTATGGTTTCGTATCACCTACCTGCTACATATCCCACACTAGTAGAGCGCCTTTTTCCATTTACCGCAAAGAATGTCTACCCAAAAGAATGTTTGACTTTGGTACATGAGCATGTGGTGAGCCGGGAGCACAAATTCTTGCTGTGTTTGGATACACAGTTACAGATGGAAGGAACGTATTCCAAAATAGTTTCCTTAATCAAGTGCAGGGCTCTCTCTTAGCATAAAATCTGTCTGTTTTAATACCTCACACAGCCCTTAAAAGAGGTGCTAACCTATTCGCATTGTTATCTTCATTAGCGTCTTGGTGATATTCTTCCGACTGGTGGGTGTTGCTCTCTCATAACCTTAAAATTTAAAAGCATGTAGATGGGGACGGAAGCAGACAGAGGCAGATACAAAGCGAACGGAGGTAACCGAATTTGTTAACCATAGGTGGAGGATGACTACCGATTCAAGCACTTAAAATTATCCTATTTGCCATGAGCTGGATGACAAAGTACTGTCCAGTCCTTTCGGTTTGTGGTAAAATTTTAATACTTGACTCCATCAGAAAGTGAATCGGCCTCCTTAACGCCTACTGTCATTCGCACTTTGGCACTCTAACAATGCATTTCCGTTTTTCGGCTTTGTGTCACTGGTAAAGATGATTTTCAACGCTGTCTAATTTCGATACCCTAATTTTGTCGCTTCAAAGTCTTGACTCAAGTGAACTTAGGATTTGATTAAATGGAATTGAAGTAATTTTTATAGGAGGACAAAGAAGACGAAAAACTAATGTCTACTCGGAAAAAAAAAACATCTGAGCTGTGCTGATCCTTTCTCCTAGAGTGTGCCAACAAGCGTCACGTCTTTGTGCCAGTAAGGATATTGCAAGCTTCCAACGTCAGAGTGTTTGTTGCCACAAAATTTAGATAGCTTTAACAGGTTTCAGTTCAGATTTGACAAAAAAACAGTCCGTGTTGACAAAGATTCAGAGGAATATATTTAGTTCACCTATCGTTTCACCAGTATTTAAACTTTTAAAACGCCGGGTTGAATGAATGTGTGAGAACAGAGGTGGTGACAGTTTGTTGTTTAGAAACTTGTCTACGACATCGCTAAACCGTTGAGCTAAATCACTGATCACAACTTGAAAGGATGCTGACACCCACTGAAGGAACTTTGGTGCTCTTGGTTGTGACATTAGGCGATTACGCCTTTGACGTGCAAAAAACCAACCTTCATTAGAGGTCCCATGAATCTCGCATTGTTCGGCCCACGACCGATTGTCTTCGGAAACAACAAATTCGGAGGAGAGAGTAGTTAATTGGTCGGCAGCACTCTGTTGCATCCCCTTGATTACATGTTTATCGAAATCTTTATGATTCTCGACAAAAGTGGAAGGTTGTTCGAGAGCATGGAGTTCCTGATTCTGCGGCAGATGATATTCGACTGAATAGGTTTCTGGATGCAAAATAATTGTGGCCAACTCCTCGTTATTACAGCAATCAATGCTTTCGAAACCAAAGTTTTGTGACCCGATTAGAGGTTGGAGATCGGAGGGAACCTTAACACTTTCGAGCTCAGTTAACGATGTTTCATACTGCTTGATCGGTTCCCTCTGGACGATTGACTTGTGGGAACCATCAACATTTTCAACTTGCAACTCACCTGTTCCCACAAAGATTTTAGCTAAATGTGCCTTCAATCCACCTCTGAGAGGTTCAGTGTCTGTGCTTATTGGGACCTCATATTCATATGGCATATCATTCGGGCCCAATTCTTCCAATTCGATGCCCAAAACTGTTTCATTTTGTGTGAGTCTAACTTGTGGCTTAGTTTGAACTTCTCTCACGGCACCATCGTCATGGGAAGGAATGAAGACTTCGAAGTTCAAGACCTTTGCAGTGCAAAACTTGGTTCTGCTTGCTTCGACCACAACTGCGTTAGAAGATTCGTTTGAGTGAGAAGTTGCACCATTCCCGTCGAAGTAGATAAACATTTCAGATGTTTCAGCTACTTTACTGTCATCAAGTAAAGTTTCGGCATTTTCAGCTACATTGCTACATAAATTCACAACGGTTTCAGATACTTCGGGGAGGAACTTTCCCATCAATGGTCCCATATACGTAAATGTAGTTTGGTCGAGCTCTTCTTCCATACTAAACTCTTCTGATATCTCCACCTCATCTTCCTTGCTTTCTTCAGTTACGAATTTCAAAGGAGCTAAGCCACATCCAGAATCTTGAAGAGCGCTCACATTTTCTGGCAGGAGAAGTGAAGCTGTAGTGAGTTTCGGCGATTCTTCTTTTTCACTTTCCTTATCAAACGCAGATGCTATTTCAGACGATCCAGCCTTCTGTTGATCTCGTATAGAGGGGTCCTCTTGGGACGTAATCGTGCCAGCATCGAGAGAAACAGATTCGCCTCCCTGTGTCCTCAGTTTTTCCACAACCGTCTTATTTGACAGGTCACCGGAGGCTGCAGAATCTTCATTTTTAACAAAGGAGCTGGATATTTCAGAAGAACCAGCCTGCTTCTTTGCATCAAGCAAAAGACCGCCGCCCTCTGGTGATGGTCTTCCACTGAGAAACTGGACGGATTCCGACTCACCCACCTGAACTTTTTCTCTAAGTGGCTCAATCTGACTACTCAAATCCAGGTTGGGTATGGCATCTGAGTTTGATTCTTCTAAATAATCATCAAGGTTTTCAAACAATTTCTCTTTTTCATACTTACAACTCTGCATCTCCCCTTCTCTACTCTTTTCTGGTTCTACGGCTGCTTCCGTATTGTCGGTTAACGTGGTTTTACATACGACATCGTCTGTTTCAGGTGTGCTCTCAACTGGATCCTTTAACAGAGATTTCCGCAATGCAATGGCTTCAAGCGGTGAGACTAAATCAGTTTTAATGCTACCTCCAAGGATACCCCCATTTTTTCCACTTTCGGCCGTTATGGTTTGATGGGCATAGTTTGTAATTGATGGCAGGTCGCATACTTCATTAAAGGCGCAGGATACTTCCGATGACCCAGCATGCTTTCTTTCTTCGATGAATAGGTTAGCGTCTTGGAGGAGTAACACTTCGTAAAAATACGAGGATAATTCAATTTTGCCTGCTTGATGCCTAACCTCCAGCGGCTCCTTCTGAGCTACCAAAAGCATGGCTGTTGGCACCTCTACATCTATATTTTCATATGTTTCAGAAGCACTTTCAGCAACTTTTTCTGATGCGAAATTCATTTTACTAGCTATTCCTTCTGAACAAGGTTCAAAACCTCCTTCTTGCTTAACTACGTCCAAATTACCTGCCTTAGAGTTTTTAATTGAAAATAGATCCTCAGGAGGAACAGCCGCATCAACACTTTCTTCTTCTAGATCATGTTCCATTTTTCCCTTAAACGCATTTGTTGAATGTACGAATTCATCTATTTTGTCGAAGTCGCCGGCAATTTCGGATTCGTCCGCATGTCTTGTCTCATCAAGCACCATGGATTTTTCTTCCAGCGAGGAGTCTTGAAGATGAAGAACTGCTTCTTTTTCACCATCATAATTGGCACTGATTATTGACCTCCTTCTGGCAGTTAGCTGTTGACTGGGTGTCTCTCCAAATTCCATACCTAATGAAGACTCTAGAAGATCCCTATTGAATCGATCCTTTTCAAAGTTCATACCATTCCCTCCATTCTCACCGTCATCAAGACACGTCAGTTGAAATGGTGAAGCGATGGCCTCTTGAACCGTTTCTGTCAGCACGTCTTCATTCACTACAACATCGTCTTCAGAACTTTTTGATCCCAAAACAGCTTCACACAACACCCGAGCCTCCAGTTGCCCACCGAATTGAAAAGTGGACTTTTGGCCAATGTACACTGTGTTGAAAGGTCCTGTCCCGAGTTCTGTACCGGAACTTCCACCAGTTTCTGTTGATACTTCTGCGACTCCAGATTGATCTCCTTCATCTAAAGAAGGGGCTTCTTCTGATTCTTTAGTGTCATCGTAAATGAATGGCTTTTCGGTGGCACCGTTTCTACTCTCAACCATGATGGGGCACAAATCCAGACTAGCTTCTTCCTTGCCCATAAGTCCCAAAATAGCTTCCTGTATTTCATTTTGCTTCTCCATCAATTCCACTTTCATGGGATCATAAAACAACTCCTCAGTGAGTGAGTCACCCTCATCAGCCGACATAAAACAAACATCTGAAGTTTTGCTTGAATCGGAGGATGATAAGTTGCGTGTCTTTTCATTTCTCTTGCACTCACTGCCGTGTAGAACGGTTGTTGTAGAGTTGGCATAGGGTGAAAAGTGAACCTCACCCTCCACTTCATCAGGCGGAAGTGGATATAAATGCAAGGGCGTTAGGTCATTATGACTGGCCAAATTTGATTGATATGGTTCCGCAACATCAGAAATGGCAGTTGTCTCGAGCTCACTTATTGGAATGAAGACAAGAGTGGGCGGTAAGTTTGGAATGGCTGTGAGATGCCAACCAACTGCAGCTTCCATCAGGGGAATGCCGTCAACTTGTGATGGTAGGTCGATAGAATGGTGTCCTTCGTTGTCACTGAGGTACTGTTCGAATTCCGAGGACCAATCTTCCATTTGAATATCAGCCTTAAATGTAAAAGATGCAAAGGTAGTTGATTTTTCACATGTTAAAAATTCACTAGGTAGTAGTATTCACCCGAAAAAGACGATTCTGTCGATAGGTATGTTGATACATGGGGACTGATGTTGTAAAAGACTATGATTTGTGAACAGGCGAAGAGTTTTAATTTGCTTAGCTAAATGCGCACTGTCTATGATGTTCTGTGAAGTTAAACTTTCAAGGTAAAAATGGTTCGCTAAAATGTACAGAGGTATGAAACATTCGGGAATAGAAGTCGATCCAGTTACATTTACCGATCTAAGGACGAAGATACAATTTAAATACTCCATATGTTGCGAAAAACTCCACTCAGAATACAAGGGAGGAGAGATATCTTGAGCTTGGCTTATTCCATGTTTGCCACAATGCGATACATAAATTATAGGATAGTTGCTAAAATATCCACCTAATTACATTCGTCTTCCAGCTTAAGATCTCCATTTCGAAGGCTCTCCTGCTAGCAATTAAATTTTCTCTTCTGTCATGGCTTATTCCAGCCTCTTGTAAAGACTGATGATGCTGTACGCTTTTACGCCTTTTTGGGGAGAAACGTGTTGGCAACAGACCGGTAACCATCAACAAAGCATTTTAAGTCTATTAAGGAAAGTGTGAATCTTAATCCAGCAGCAGTTTATGTGCACATTTTTCAATTACTGTGTTTACAAGGACGGTGTCTTCATTCCTTTACTTTATTTTGCAAAAACAAATCAGAAATCTACGCTGCTACAACAAGCAACACTTTGGAAGCTTAAAGTTTGTCAATGAAAACATAACCAGTGAGCTACTTAAGGGCTCATTCAAAATACCTATGAACAAGACAAATTAGCACTTAAACCTCCTCGTATAGTATCTAGAAGAAAGGAAGGCAGAAAATGAGCAGTCTTGAATTGCCAACTGCAGCCATGTCAATGGAAAATTTTAGCATCTCGGAAATGTTCTTCCCTCTTTGTGGGAACGCTTTGTCGTATTATCCACTTATTTCATGTCAGTAGCAAATCACCCTAAAAGGGTTCTTTGGCAGATAAACTAACCTCCTTCCAGCCAATGTGGGTTGCAAATGACAACCACTTATACAAGTTCCCCGGAATGCGGAAGTCGAAAAATATTATAACTAATGAAAAAATGTTTACATCTTAAAAAATGGTAGATTACTGCCAAAAGACCACCCCATTTACACTGAAAGTGGCCAATCTATGCGAGAAGGATTGTGTTATGGATGGAAATCGGGATCATAATTACTCAGTATTCTAAACAAAATGATTAAATCATCAAATAAGTAAATGCAGCCTTAACGACAATCTGATAAAGTGCGCTTCAAGTGCTGTCACCTCAATTACTTTCAATCCAAACGAAATGACTAATTGACCTTTTTAAGTTTAATGTTATTTTTGCGTGACCCCAAGACGACCCATCCTTGTCGGTTTAGCAAAAAATTACCTTTTTGGCATGGTACAACCTCCGCTACGAAACGCCAACTTCCGCCCCATCACAGCCCTTGCCCAAGAGTGCTTCGTTTGGGTTAGGCATAGTTTTTAGCCAAATCGTAAATTCAAAACTGCTTCAAGGAAGCCAACACCGATAAATCAAGCTTCAGAAGAAGTTCCATCAAAGCAACTTGTGAGGATTTTTTAGTTCACTCCATTGTAGACCATTAGAGGAGGTACTCAAGTGTTTTATGCATACCTGTAGAATTTTTTCGGCTTGTTAGCAAAGGCATGAACCAGGATAAACAGGTCTGAACTGAAGACTCAACCTTTTACTTTGTTACCGGCTGTACCCCTTTTGGCTTCTATTTTGTTCTCTCTGTTTTGTCCCTTCCATCCGTCGTGGATGTGACAATCGCTGACTGCGCTTTTGGTATGCCAATTCTGATCCCTTTAGTGACTTAAGGGACCGCAGGTATATAGAGGTCAAAACCATATTGACAAGGACAAATGAATGCTCCTTTGGTTACAAAAGGTCCCACCCTCAAGAGCTTTTCATACATAAACTTGACTGACATTTTCATTCTACTAGTAAACTGCCGAGTGGTGACAATAGCCTTTGCTTCGTCACAATTTTTCCTTTCATTTTCGACATTGTTTCAGGAGAAATGGAAGCTACTAAGCGTATAACCGATTAAGTTACCTTTCACCTGTTATCAGCCATAAATTCGCAATTTCAGAACTCAAAATAGAAATAAAATGGTTCCGTAACTTGGTATTACAGTCCAGCAGACTCGGATTGCTGAAACTAATGTACACATCCTTACATTCTTTTGTATCACGGAGGCAAGACATTAGAAAATGAGCAAGCAACCTGTAAGCGGCTGCCTTACAGACTTAGTTGCAGACTGAGTGCAGCAAACGGGATAACAACAAAGTGTTTGTTAAGTATGTTTCATCATGCTGCAGATAAATGGGCTCATGGTTCTTTGTGATGAAATTTTGTTTGCCATTAACTTCCAAAAATAAAATGGGTTCAACATTGCACAATAACTGCAGGTGCCAGGGCACTAGCTCTCTTCCCTCGTAAAAGATAAAATCCAAAACCTTTCTTTGAGATAAGTGAGGCAATACTGCAGGTTTGACCATTCAGCAGATGATTACCTGTTTCCAAAAGTCTCCAACCACCGACGTCACCAAATTGAAAGGCCTTCCTCAGCATTAAATGAGGTTTTTGTTCGAGAGGTAGAGAAGGTAGAATTGCAAATTTCTCATGAGCGCTCCCATTTATATTTTATAAAGTAAGGCTAGGAGCATATTTCAGCGCATCAAGTAGTATGTCTTGTTGGTCCAACCTGCACGCTTGTCTCCTTGCTATTTTAAGTGTGCTCCAACATTTAACCGTCATGGCATTCAGTGGACGTGGGATAACAAAAAATGTGAAGGCTAACTTCTTATGATTCATCTGTGTGTCAAACGAATGCCGGAAGTGTCTCTCCTTATTTGTGTAAACTAAAACCTTCACTTTATAGCTGGGACAAATGAAAGGAAGGAAGATGCTCTCTGACTCCTATTTTCCATATTTCTACGCCATTAGCATGAAACAACTAAATTTCATGAAAAACAATTAATTTAAAATGAAAACGGAAGTGAAAGAAAAGGTAAGTGGGCACACGATTCTTCCCGGATTCTGCATATTGAGCTCAATTGTGCGGCACGATTCGCATGCATGTATTCATTGATATGAGGATCTTTGCACCCTTACAGACTCGCTCCAGTGGGAGAAATAGGTAAAAAATACGCTCTTCTCAAGTTTAGTCTCCAGCGCCTTGTATCGAAATGAAGCAAATGCCATTAGTTTACTCAGACGTTTCGAAGAATAACCTCGTTTTCATCAAGATTAAATCACAAATCAGTGCAAGGCAAAATGTGGTTGGAAGCTTGTTAAAGATAATACATAAAAGAACGAAGAAGATTATTCAACTCTATCGAAAAGACCAACAACTATGCCACGTCAGTCTGAACCACTCGTTTTAGACCCTGCAAAGTAAACATTGCCGAATTATAGAGAAGGGAAACGGATTGTCTCGAACTCGGAAACACGAGCTCCTTTACATATATTGAGGCCATTCAAATCAGCACAAAATCTACAACTCAATTTCCGGAAAAACTCTTTCATTTAGTCCTAAATTTAACCAAGTGAGGCATTACACTGTCACATTTTGTTTGTCATTCTGGTGTCACAAGTCACTCTTTTTGATAATGGTGCATCTCATCATGCCCTAATACATATTTTGGCGTTCTGTACTGATGAAGAAAGCACAGCGTGCATAAAATATAGCACGGGAAAAAGTGGCATCAACCTTCAAGTTCAGTCGAAAAATTTGCCTCCAGTCCTATTTTATTCCGTTAGGGTGAAACTCATTTTTATGCACATCGCCTTCATAAGGCGTGGGCTAGCCTAGTGCTTCAACTGAATTCACACTGCATGCCGTCGGTACTTTTAATGGTAGAGCCGTTGGAACTGTCGTCCTATTGGTTACAGCTTCCAGAAGATTCAAAATTAGAGGATATTGTGGGAGTGAAGAGCCAGTGAATGGGAGGAAGTTGTCGTTGACGCGCCATCACTGCTAAGCAAAAAATCCATCGACATGGACTTTGCACTCTCCATACTTTCACCACCTGTCCAACGTCATGAGGTTTCGCTTACAACTGCAGTCTCTCTGCCAATCCGCCCAAAACTGTCAAACCTTCTTCCACGATGGCAGTTCTACGGCATCATCAGAGAAGGTCGAAGGATTATGAGAATGGGATGAAAGAAAACAAGAAGGCGTAAACATTTGGTGCCAAATTAAATAAGTAAAGCTCTTATTTCATGGTAGTGGTATCTCAATGAAGATCCGGTGGCGAGTGTCAGCCACACAAACAGGTTCATTCACATATCATGTTTGAAGATACATAGAGATGAATGTGTATGTATCGGATCGCCAAGATAAATATATACATACAGATTTTTAAGGCAAAATCAACAAAATACACATCTATCAATTCCATGACTTTGTACTTTTCACCCGGTAAATGTCGTGGCTGTGGGGTCAAGGACCTTAACTGCCGTCCTTTGTTCAAAATTTCTGGTTGGCCTAATCTGGAAGGAGCATTTTCAGAAATGGACTAAATTGAACTGATATGACTGTCTCATGTGGGCTCGAATTTAGCATTTAAGGGTTTGCTATCCCGAGTTCAATAAACAGTAGAGAGGGTTCAAATGGTGACAAAGTGTCAGTGGAACCTTACACATCACAAGAATCGGCTTAAAACTTGTGGAACCGAACGAAAACACTTTGATCTGAGCTAAGCATCAGCGCAAGTGATAAGCATTGCGTCTCGCATAATACGCTGCATTTCCTCTGTATTCATCCAGGTTTCTAACAGCCAACTGTCACTTAATTGAGGTAGAGTTTATCGAGCTATGATAAGTGAAAAGTTAAACATTTGCATCCTTTTCTCACTTTACAGTTCAATTTTGAGGG